CACATGAAAATCGTAAAAAAATGACCAAATTTCATGATATAACTGTATCTTTTATACAAAATAAAATAACGCTAGTTTTTTTAAAATATATTTTTTTATTTTGTATGTAAGAACAGGAAATGACAAACACTGAGTTTGAAACAGTTAAAAAGATAGACAATGAGACCAAAGTGGTTAGAATTGGTGATTTAAACGTAAGATACTCAAAGAAATACAAGAAATATTCTTTGTCAGACATTTTAACACTATCTGAAAAGAAAACATCCCACGACTGGGTTAGAAATGCTTCTACTCAGAAAATTTTGACAAAAAATCCTGAGCTTATGATATCGGTAAGATTCTATGGAACAAGAACATATCTCATCGACAAAAGTCTTATACCAATAGTTTTGTTCTGGATTGACCCAGTTGTTGGATATAATTTCATAACATATGGTTCATTCGATACGGAACGTTGCAGTGAAGGCTTACTTTACATCGTTCAGAAACCGAAGGACTTCAATACAAAGAGATATAAGATAGGAAGAACATTTAATATAACTCAAAGATATGACAGTATAGTCAATAGAGTTAAGGTTGCGTTTGTTAACGATATGAGAGCTGCTGAAACAGAACTACTTGAAAAGTTTGAGAAAATGTATGGTGCTCCCACGAAAGGTAAAGAAACGTTTGAAGTAGATGAGATAGCTAAAGCTATAAAATTATTTGACGAAGTTGCTGAAAAATACATGTAAAGCGTTTATTTTTGGTCTTTTATACAAGAATAAATAACGCTAATTTTATTTTTTTTAATTTTTTTATTTTGTATGTAAAGACAGATATGTCAACATCAGAGAACACAACAACTGCTATCGTTCATGAAGCCATAAGTGAAGAATATGAGTGGGTTCAGTATAACAAACAGTTACGTCTCATTCGTTCGGTCAAAGATGACATGTACCAAATGCAAAGTATTTTGACAGCATGTTTTGCTCCAGATACTAAACACGCAGACGACTGGTTCAGAAACCAAAGCACACAAGAACTTTTGAGTGAAATTTCTCTAGACCGAGAATTCTCGGCCTTGCATAAAACACATGAAAATCGTCAAAATTTGCCAAATGGTTTGAGAGGCTGGTATGTACATAGACTTTTAGTAAATGCTGTTGCAATGTGGGCTTCGCCTCGTTATGCTTGGTATATTTACAGACTTCTTGACGAAATTCATAGACAAGAACGTGAAGAGCTAGAGAACAAGCTTGAAGCAAAAGATGAAGTCATTGAAGCAAAAGACAAAAACATTCAGAAAAGAATACCACGTTCGGTACCAAAAGGTAAGGAAAAGAACTATAAGTATATGATTTATACTGAAGAGATGGAAAATGAAGAAGACAAGATATGGTTATGTTGCATTTAGTCAGAAGAAACAACAAAAGCTTTTACGACCTTGCTAAGATTTACAAATCTGACAGAAATTGGTTCTATCGCGAAAACTTACCGATTTCAATGACACCGAATGAAGATGTTAAACAGATAGTTCAAGATACGTTACCTCAAACACACTATGATATGAAAGGTTGTACAATACTTACATTCAAAGAAGATTTACCGCTACTGAAAGAAAAAATAACAGAGTATTTTGACAACTTCAAACAAGCAGAGTAGATGAACCATTTATTTTTCAAGCTTGACACCAAAGATGGCTCAGGTAGCTCTATAAGGTAAATTGTCTTGTCCGAGTCCTTCTGGCATTCCGAGTCCTTCTGGCATTCCGAGTCCTTCCTTCCGACAGGAAAAGTTTTTCTTTCCAACAGGAAAAGTTTTTCTTTCCAACAGGAAAAGTCCTTCCTTCCAACAGGAAAAATTTTTCTTTCCAACAGGAAAAGTCCTTCCTTCCAACAGGAAAAATTTTTCTTTCCAACAGGAAAAGTTTTTCTTTCCGACAGGAAAAATTTTTTCTTTTGTCCGTCGTAAACCATTCAAATTTTCGAAAATTGAGAACTTTTTGGCCGACCTTCAGGAAAAGTCCTTCCTTCCAACAGGAAAAATTTTTCTTTCCAACAGGAAAAGTCCTTCCTTCCAACAGGAAAAATTTTTCTTTCCAACAGGAAAAGTCCTTCCTTCCAACTGGAAGAACTCTTCCTTCCGACAGGAAAAAAATTTCTTGACAACAGGAAGAACTCTTCCTTCCGACAGGACACAAACGAATGTCCGACGTACCACCAACCGAGTCCATTCCAAAGCCAGAAGAACCGAAAGCCCCAGCACCACAACAGACTAAGACTCAAACACTTACATTTTTTACGCTTGACTTTTTACAATTTGAACTTTGTTCGCGTAGATATGAATTCTGAAAGAAGTATGAGGGTCTTGTATGACTTTGTACCTCTCCCATAGTTCATGTCTGTCAAACTTACCTGCCATGGACTCTTTCATAAGTTCCATGAAATCGTCTTCGGACAATCCGGGGAAAAGTATAATATCAGTAAGTATTCTCTTTACATCCTTACTTAAACTCTTGGCTGTCTGTACACAAATGACAACAGAGATGTTAAAGTGTCTGAGCTTCTTAAGAATTCGACACATGTCTTGTTCTCTATTCTTTAACAAAGGATGAGAAGCAAAGTCATCTAAGATAAGAAGACATCTATGAGGGTACGTTTTCCAATCGTAAGATTGCAATTTCTTCGAAATGTACTCTATCTCTTTCTGTTTGTTTCTGAAGTGTTTCTTCTCTAATATTCTCTGCATTTCCTCATTTGGGTCTTTAAACTTAGAATTGACATACTCATTTATAGCATTGTACTTCAAAACTCTTCTTTGGTACTTCTTTATCCAATCCAACAACTCAGAGTCTTTTATACATACTAGTTTTGACTTCTTTATAATATCTTTGAACGAATTGACGGTTTGGTCAAATTGACCCGAAGTACTACAAATGACTACTAACTCATAGAATGGGTTCTTCTCATCTAGTTCTTGTTGTTGTGCAGCCATTTTAAGATAAGTGAAAGTCTTACCCGACCCAGGTGGTGCAATTAGACCTGTTATACCATTCTGAGCAAAAAGAACTTGTCATGTATGGGTTTTATCTGAGCATTTTCCAACTTCCTCTTGTTCTTATTTAAAACATTCTCAAATTTTTTGTCAATGTCAGCAAACTTTTTTTCTAACATATTTTTAGAAAAATTAAAATTTTTATCTTTTACAAAATGTCTAGCGATTTCGCTATCTATATTCGAGACAAGCTTTTCGACAGCAAAACATCTGTAGACCATAAATCTTACATAGTGTAAACAAGAAAGGTGAATTTGTTCTAAAGTTCTGTTTCTGGGAATATGACAAGAACCATAAAACATTAAGCAGAGCAGTCTTAAAATTTGTCAATGACAGACTTGTTGACAGAGATGACGCCTCTTGGAAAGATGAAGTCCAACAAAACTTCTTAGAATGCAAAGAAGACACATGCGCTGTTCTTGAAGATGAAATAGAAAACAGAATAGAAGAGCTATTAAAGGACAAAGAACTTTTACAAAAATATGGTTCTGAGAAGTTTGACATAACTCCACCAGAAAAGAAGAAGAGAGAAAAGAAAGAAAAGAAAGTAGAAGAAGAGAAGAAAGAACCTGAACCAGAGCCAGTTCCACCGAAGAAGAAATTTGACATGTAAAAATAAAATTTTATTTTTAGAACATTTCTGGGTCAATGTCAATGTTCTCTTCCTCTTTAGGAGTAAACACTGGCTTAGACTCTAAAATCTTTTACCCAATTTACCTTGAACTTCTACAACTTTAGACTCATAATATTCATAGTCGTCTGTCTTCTTTGGTTCATAAGGTATAACAAGTTTGTAATGCTTTGCCTTCTTTAAGGTTTGAAAACCTTCTGTCAAAACTTTCTTTGACTGTTAACAAACCTTCTATGTCTAAGTCTTCAAATTTCGCACCATTTTTAGTCACAATAGCAAACTTAACTGGTTCGATGTTCCAAACTTTGCATATGTAGACTTTTCAAAATGGTAGAAGTAAAACATTCAAATATGTGAATGGGTCTAGTTCTTCTTTAAGTCCTGACATGTACTTGTTTACTGAGATGAATTTCGCCATCTTTTCTATCGGATAAAAAAAAATATTTTTTTAAAATTTACTCAGAAAAATTTTTCTTTGTATATACACCATTCTGTATGTCTAAAAGACTTTTGACATTTGCCAAGAATGTTCGTTTAGACGCTGTCATATAACCATATTCTTGACAATACTGTTTATACGAATCGTACAATGACTTTCATCTAAACACTCAAAGTCAGTTTCATCTATGAACAGTTCATATACACTCTTGTTTGCTTCTAACAATGTTTGTCTCTCTTCGGTATGTGGAATTTGTCTTGGATTGAACTTAGAAATATCTAATGTCATGAAATATGAGAACAAGTGGTTGTAAAAGTCAGATGTTAAAGTTTCTGCTAAGTCGTCAAAATATTCTGTATCTTGCATATGAGAATCTGACGTTCTGACAACTACATATCTTCTGTCAGACTTTCTAACTTCATCGGAACAGCATTGTTTGAAACCATAACGAAGTTTGCAACATTTTCACAAACTCTTTGGTCTTTATATTTTCTTTCAACAACTCCAACTTTGTCTGTTATAAGACTCTTCAAAGCATCTGAGTTCAAAACTTTTGTTGTATCTATACTTTGAAGTTCGTTACATACTATAAGTTTCATATTCTCTATTGAAGAGTTAAATTTACCGCAGATGTTTTCTAAGTTTGTCATATTAGGGTTCGAATAGCCCTCTAACAGTTTGCACAAAATATCTGTAAAGAAAGTGTTCTTACCTGTTCCTTGTTTTCCAATTATGATGAGAGCAGTTTCATTTTTAGCACTTGGATGTTGTAAGATGTTTGCAAACCAACATAAGATATACTCATAGACTCTTTCGTTTCCATTGCATATAATTTCTTTGACATGGTCTAACCAAGCTTCTATAACATTTTCTTTCCATTCTACTTGTTCGTATTTATATCCAGTGAAGATAGAATAGAAGTTTGGAGAAGGTGTATAGAACTTTATACCACGAACTGAAAAATCTTCTAACTTTGACAATAAGATATCCCAAGCATCTAACATCTTCATACCAACTTGTACGACTTTTATTTTCTTAAGTTTCTGTCTACATTCTTGTTCTGAAACTATTGTTGCTCTTGGTTTGTTAAAGACTACATCCCATTCTTTCATGACATAACATTCTGGGGCAGAGTCGACATAAATGACTAAACGTTTCAAATTCTCGACTGCTTTGTTATAGTCTCTAAATGGACACATATTTCTGAAGGCTTGGAAGTCATAAAAATCTGAAACATCTATTCTGTACATTTTTATAAAAATAAAAAAAAATATTTTTTTTATTCTTGACTTTGTTGTTGCATTTGTTCCATTTGTTGCATTTGTTGTTCTTGAGCTATTTGTTGTTGAAGTTGTTCTTGTAGTACAATACTTTCACCAGTTGCATCTTCCAATTCGAAACTTTCTGCCGTCATTGACAAATACATAGGACATAAAAGTTTTACAGGAACAAAGTTTGCGTCAACTAAGGTTAAGTTTATGTTTGCTAAAGTGTTTGAGTTTACTAAAGCTGAAAACTCTGCATTCGAATGAACAATAGGCAAACCAGCAGAGAATGTGTTGTTTATACGCATGAGTATCTTTTGGTCATAGTAGTTTCTGTCGACATTCGAATAGCACTTTGAACCTAAGTTTGAAACAATATATAAGATTGGTGTACTTAAAGTCAATGGAATAGACATTCCTTGTATGACACCTTTTCCTGTTATAGGAAACTGTTGGTAGTAAAAACCAGATATAAGTTTTGTATTATAGCTCATATTGTTTATAGTAAACTCAGTCGGACATCCAAACATAATGAAACCTGCTCTAGTTGCAGCACATGTTACATCCGTCCTTAAAGTATTAAATAAGTCAACAAAACCTGTTGGTGGTATATCTGAGTAAGTATCTTCAAAGAAGTATTTTTTACCATTCACAACAACAAAGTCTTCTGGTGTCAAAAGAGCAAAACAAGCTTTAGTCGTCATTGTGTTTAAGGTTAGTTTACAATATCGTCCTTGAGGACTTTGTAAGTTTGTTGTTATAGAATTATATGACTCAGGGTTTTTAGTCGTAATAGTATAAACCACTATGTCTTCTGCCATTTTACTTAGCAAATAAATTTTAATGAAATGTTGTGGTCGTCAAATATTTTTATGACGTCTGGGAAACTATACTTTAAGTTCAACGTCTCACCTCCTTTCATAACGTATATCTTGTCAATGACATTATATGAAACACCACAGCAAGCAATGTCGGGTTCTATTTCTTTGATGTTTATATCGTCTGCCTCTGTCAAAAGTTTCAATAGTTCTTTCAAAACTTCATGAGGTGCAATGACATATGAGTTCACTTTTACAGGGTTGTGTTCGACCAAGTTTAACATTATACCTAAAGCTTGACAAATCTTCTCCTGAGTTTTAAGTTTGTCTTTAAGTTGTTGGTAGTCGTTTCGAATATCTGCAACAGAACTTAACTCTCTGCTAACTTCAGGGTATGTTGGTTGTTCTTTTACAGGAACAATTGTTATACCATCTTCGTCCTCGTATGGTTTCCCCACTTCAACATCTCTTTCTTTGACATTGACAACAACACTTTGACTGTTTGTTTGAGTTGGTGAATTTAACTTCACATCTGCCACCGCCATTAAACCTTTTGAAACACTTACGCTTCTATTTTTCGGAAATGACATTTTACTTCAAATAAAAAGATGGACGTATTCGAGTATCTCTTCGAATTGAAGCAGAACAAAGTTTACACACACAAACAATACAAGTTCATTGACAGAATAGTTCTTTACACAAACAATGGAAAATGTTATAGAATAGCAGTCTTTGCTGAACCAAAATATTTTCATAAAGCAAAGAAAGTTGGTATAACTGAAATGGTGAAAGTTCTTGACGTTGACAAAAATATAACAACAAAACTTACAGATATTTCTAAAGGTAAGTTTATCTTACAATTTTATGTCAAAACTGGCGTACTGTCAATATTTGACGGAGAGAAGTCAGTTCAAGAACAACTTACTGACCTGCTGCCAAAATCTGCTCGATGGAAGCTGTCGTTATGCCAATCTGAGGAGCCCAGCAGGTTTCATCGAACGAATCTTCAAAAGAGCATCTTCCGTGAAAAGTGCTATTGGTTTTGTAAACTTCTTTGCTTTCAATTCATCTGGACCGTCTCTGTCACCAGTATATTGTATTTGAACTGTACCAACAGTTGAAATACCACCCATAAAGTCTTCTGAGTCAGCAAATGGAATGCCAAGCCAAAAGTTTGAACGGTCTCTATTTGTATATTGAGTTTTTTGACCTCCTGTATGAGTCCATACTTTCACATATGGCATAATAGAACTTTGCATTTCAGGGTTAATGGTTGTTGTGAAGTTGTTGTTAAAGTTCATAGCATCTAATGTCAAGTTGTATGACCTCATATCTTCAACTGTAGAATATTCTTCTCTTGGATAATATTTGCCATCTATGTTTATGATATTTAATACCGGGGTTGTAGAAACAAGAATAGTCATTTATAGTTCGTCTGAACAGTACAAAATAGTATCTGCATGTTTCATTGCAGTTGTTAAAGCAATATCGTTCTTGCACCTGGGTCAGCACTTGGTTTCCAACTTCACCTGCAAACTTTGACAGATATTTGGTGTATAGGGAACATAAGTGGAACTGCAATATATTTGGCAGCTAAAGCATTTGAAATATCTGGGTCCAACATATAGACTGCAAGTCTGCTTTCTATTCTCTTGCATTCAAATTTTTCGCATGTGAACTTAACTGGGTCCCAAGCAGTTCCAGCAGCATTGAAATAATAGTTTACTTCAGTGTTGAGGTTTGAGAAACCAAAGTCTAAGTCAACTTTGTCTTTGCAAAATTCGGCGAATGACGTTGATTTGCTCCTTTACGTCTGTAAGAGTGAATGGGTCTTGTGTTGGTGCAATGACTAAGTTATTTTTGCTTGGAGTAAGTTCGATAGAAATTTTTCCTGCCCAGTTTGGCAAGTATCTTAAAAACCTGAAGATGAGGAAAGATGACAAAGGGACTCTAAGTTTCAGTTTTACTTTGGTTACTGCTGCGCGCAGTTTGTCCAGAAAGGTTAACATAAACTCCTGGAACGTTAGGGTCAAGTCTTCTTATTTTCTCAATGGTTGCATACTGGTCTGTTTGTTCTCTAGCTTGTGTTGTACTGAGTTTCTCAAAGCGAACCATTCATAGTTTGCCCATGTTACTGTTTGAACTAAGTCGGAGTTAGAATATATCTTATATCCCATGAAACTTCTGGAGCATATTGGTATCCGACATAGAAAATTCCATTGCAACCTTTCTTGTCAGACAACTTGGCAGAAGGTTTATATTCAATGTCTTGTTCCACGTATAAGAATGAGTTGTCAATAGAAATTATATGAAACCTGTCGCAAGCAATATCTACTGTTGTTGAAGAACCTTCACCAAACTCACCTACGTTTCCATAAGAAACAGCAGTTGTATATTCGTAAGTTCCAGGAACTATTTCTGACCTTCTAATGGCATTGTCGCATTCGTTATACCATTCGGAAACATTTCCATTCATGGCATCCAAAACTGTTGGCGTTATATTCTGAGCGGCGTACATTTCATATGTGTAAAAATATAGAATAGTTGGATTTATGTGTCATAATAGAACCACGTGGACCAAGCTTTACTTTCTTCCTGACTGAGTTTTAACTCTTCTTTTTCCTTCATTGCCACTACTTTCACTAGATGAAGTTACTTCTTCACTACTTTCACTTTGTTTCTACTCTTCTCTTCTTCTTTGGTGTCGCTTTTGGTAACTTGCCCTCTGCTTCAAGTTGTTGCATCTTTGCCTCATGTTCACCTAGTATGTTGTAAATTTCCCATGTCCTTTTTGCCTTTGGGCTCTGGTCGCCCGTCTCAGGTAACCTATATCCTAGAAAGATTTTGTCATAGTTTGTATTTGAGTCTTCGCGTATTGTTTGCATGACTCTTTCCTGAGTTTCCGGTTCAAGCTCTTCAAACAGTGCCTGTCCATATGGAATAAGCTCGTTTCCCAAATATATGTTTTGTAGCCATTCTGGTTTTCTTTCCATGTTACAACAATATCTTTTGTGAATGGGAAAGCTTTTACCCAATGTTTCAGTCTTGCGTCATTTATTTCTGTAGTTGGTTTATTTTGTCAAGGAACATGTTTTTCAATACATAACATTTCATTTGGTACTGTCCATTTGAGTTTTCTTAAATATTCATCCCTTCTCAGTTCATTGTCTGCAAAGTAAGTTTTTATGACATTTTGTAAACTTTCGTTTGCAAGGTCATGTACAATAGGTCTCTTCCTTCTCTCCCTAACTTTCTTTCTAAACTCTTCACCAAATATACCATCTCTATGGTTCTGTGTAGTTCTTTGAGATAAATGTTTTAGAACGTCAGGTGTTATATTTCCATCAGCCATGTTCATTTCATACTGGTCCAAAATATCTGCATCTTTCATATCTTTCAATGGCATTAAAGCCGCGCTGAAAATACCAGCTATATCTGGTTCACCATTGACTTCCATTGCGTCTACAACTTCTTGGAATTGTGGTTGTAAGTTTATGAACCACCTATCCGGATTAGCTTTATGACCCCATCTCATTGTAGTTCCATCGTCTGCAGAAACAAAAGTAGGTTTGTTTCCATCTTGGTTAGGTTCTGAATGAACTTTAAACAATGTTTCATTTCTATATGTTTTGTTGAAATTTAACCTTTTATTTTCACCGAGTTCATCCAAAGATTGAAACGTTAAATGCTCGTAAGTAAAAAGGGTTGTTGTATTTGCGTACATTTTCTTTCAGTACTTCCATTCTATGCTGAATATTTTCATCTGGTGTTGGAGTCTTTTGTATGTCGGCAAACATTTTTCGATATTCTTCTACTATGTCAGCCGAATTTTTTTTAGACTCTTGGAAAGATTCCATATTCACCTCATACTCTTGTTGAGGGTCAAGATTTTTCGGCTGTTCCAAATCTTCATCTAGTTCTGTGAAGTTAGTTTCCAAAGGAGGGACTTGTTCGTTTCCTTCAGGCTCTTCTAGCTGTTGTTGCTGAACTATTTCTTCCATGTCTGGTTGTATCTGAACTTCTTCCTGTGGAGTTTCTTGTACCTCATCTGCTGGCATTTCATATATTCCGAGACCGTTTTCAACAAGTTCCCTTTCTAAGTCATCCGGACTCATAAACCTTTCTTCTTTCGTTCCGTCTCTATTTTTTACGCGTTTCATGAAGAGAGTTAAATTGTCATTTAGCTCTGACATCAAATATCTCGGAGTAAATTCAGTCATGTCATTTGGATGATATGCTATTAAATCATATCCCTTAGCGAGCTTGTATTTTCCAGGTTTGAAATTATATCCCATTTGGTGCTGAGCCATAAAGCTAAATAGGTTCGGGTCAGTATTTCCTTCCTTGAACTTTCTAATAGCTTCTTTATATCTGTCACTAAAGTCAATACTATCTGGGTAGCCATAGTCTTCTTTAAGCATTTTTAAGAATTCTTGGTTTCCTTGTTCTGTTTGTGGTTGTTGTTGTGCAGGGTTTTGAACTGTTGGTTGTTGTGCAGGGTTTTGAACTGTTTGTTGTTGTTGTTGTGCTGGTTGTGGTTGTTGTTGTGTTGGTTTTGGTGCATGCCTGTGTCTGTGTCCATGTGACGATGTAAATGTTTTAGGTAGTCCTGGTGCAGGTGCTTCTCTTGGAGGGTTTGGTGGTATATAAATTCCAACAGCTGGTATATATGTTCCACCAGCTGGCACATATGTTCCATCTGCAGCGTAATGTCCTACCTGACTTTTCGTTCTTAAGAAAGCATTTACTAGGTCTGTTTTGGTCTGTTGTAACTCTTTTTCTTGACTTTCCACAACAGTTGCTCTAACGGCGTCATAGGCACTTTGAACTGCCTGTCTCGTTGCTGCATCTGTTATTTTCGTCATATTTGTGCTACTTCTTTTAACTCTTTGTCGAAACCTTCAGACTTCAGTTTCTTTCCAGATGAGAAGTCGTTCACTAGTTTTCACCTTACTATGAAGAGCTTCGAAGGCGTTCTTAAAGTCAGCATTTGTTAAAGCTTCATTTGAACTGTCTTCATCCGCTTGTATTTTTGTCCTTATTGACCCTATAAGTTGGGCTGCTTTGGCGTTGGCTTGGGCATCTAACCAGTCATTGTTAGCTTTTATATATTCTGCGCTTTTTCATTGCCTTTTGCATGGCTGCGTCGTTATTTTTACTTTCTTGTGCTAAGTTTTCATACTGTACGGTTTGGTTTTGCAACTGTAAAAGTTTTTCTGCCTTTACATTTGCTTCAACTTCTTTTTTATACTCATCGCTATCCATATATGTCTTCAGGGCTTTTTGTTTTATCTCTTCATCTTTCAGTACTTTATATTGAGTAGTATGGTTTTTCAAATTTACAACATCTTGTTCCATTTTTTGCTACTTCTGCTGCTTTTCTGACACTTTTTTCGCATATTCCTCTGTACTTAGTTCTTTCAGTTGTTCTTCTTTCTTCTTTTTCTCTACGTTTAACTCATTGAGTTTCTTTGTGTGTCTGTCATATTCTAGTTTCTTTTCGTTTTCACTTATTTGCTTCTGTATGTCTATGTTTGACTTTTTGACATCTGATATTTGATTTTTGAGTGAACTCAAATTCATTTGACTTTGAGGTTATAAGCTGTTCCGTCTGCAGCTCCACCATAGCCTGCCATTTTCGCTAAAGTGCCGCTCTTAAACCTCCACTCTGTGCACCAAGAACTCGGTTTAAAAGCATAGGGTTGCTTGACATTTGTTGCAACATGGTGGGGTCATTCAGCATTTGTTGTTGCAACTGTTGTTGTGGTGTTAGTTTTACTATTGGATGTTTCAATGCTCTCTTCCTCTTACGTATATTCTTACGTAGCTTACGTGGCATTTTAAGTGAAGTTAAAAAAGCGGTTTTTGACAGGTGTTTATATGACACTTTTTGTTCAGCTCAAAAAACTACTCGGCCAAAGTGTTGTCAGTTTTGTAAAATAACCGTCCTCTCTCATTCTATAAGGGGGAAAGGCTTCTCAAAGTATACTTCCTTGGAACGCCTGTAACTTTTCCTGTAGCGACGATAGCCCCTTGCTTGTCCGGACAAAGTTATACTATTTTGAGTGCTCTACAAAAAAAGTCAACGGCTGGTCGGCTGGGGTTCGGTCCTCCTCTTGGGTCTTGGGCAAAATTTCTTAGGGCTAGAAGGGGCGCAGCCCCTGGAAGCCCCTCATACCTGACCTGAACTCGTGTATTAATTACAAATTAAAAAAATTAATTAAAAAACGCATTAAATTAATCAAATTTGGTATAAAATTGTTGTGCAAACTCTGTTTAAGATTGGCACGTTTATATCATTAAGCAAAACAAATTCAATATTGCAAATCTATTACAAAAATGAGATAACTTTTGCAGCTTTTTGAATTTTTGCTAATTGCTTATATTCAAAAATAGATTACCTTTGAAGATGTTTTTCAAATTTCATATTTGTCTCAATGTGTACCATCTAAAGGAATAATTCTTCCTTCGTTAATGCTATCTTCATTATTAACCTCAATATAGATGAACTATTTAACGTTATTTCACATTTTTCTGTTGCCACAATAAGAGCAGTTTCACCTTTATCTTTTGACCTTCTATTGCCCAGCATAGAATAAAATATTCAACAAATTGTTTTAAAAGTTAAAAGAAGTTGTTTGTCATTAGGTCTTTAATATTAAGGGTGCCCTTCTGATGATATGAAATATATGAGTAGTTCATCACGACATTAAATTTTTACGTCAAGAATCTATTTTCTGCGTCATACGCATACCGTGTGTCTTGCAATTTCCACCTTATATATTTTACCATATAAATCATTGTTTTTTCATATCAATGCTTTGAATCAATATTTGCATTATATGATATAAGGAACTATACAAATTCCATATTTAAACCATATGAACAATATCTGATATTACTTTTTAACTGAATACATGTCAAGTTTCAGATAATTTTAATTTTCCAATCAAAGATACATTACTTTCTGCAAATTCACTATAAGTAAGTATAGTAAATCCGTTCGAATAACATATCTTGCGTGTAGTTGTGATCATAACAATATATTTAAGGGTGCACCCGTATTTACGTTTATTTGAGAGGAGGAGGATTACCCTCTCAATTTTGAGGGATTCGTTAGTTTATTTTCTCGATGAATATGCAATAAAATTTGATTTTTACCTTATCAATATACTTCATATAATATACACATGTTCATGTAAAAACTTTTTTCCAAAATCCTCAGGAATTAAGGGATTTTTGAATTTTAAAAATTTTTTTCGAATTTTTTCGAAAAAAAAAAATATTTTCAGAACAGCCTTAACGGCTAAGATTTAGGAACAATGTTAAGTATCAAAAAGAAAGGAGGTCTGATATAGACAACATATATCGTTGAAGGTTGAAAAAATCTCTAATATTTGAGCCCAAAATTTCAAATTTTAATTTTTTGAAAAAAGAGGCCACCTGTATGTACGTTTATTTGAGAGGAGGAGGATTATATTTTGAAAGGGTGAAACATTATGAATATGTTAATTATATAATAATATGTATTATTATAAAAAAGAAAAAATAAAGCACTTTAATTTTTTTCTTTCTTGATTTTTTACAAAATCTACTTAGAATTATGCAAAATATGACTAAATAATTATAAATTTCAAGTTAAATTTAATTTCGATAAATAATTTAAATTTCAAAATATCAAGTTCAGTTCGACTATGTATGTAGTAATTCCCAATAAAGTTCCAAAACCCTATTAAAATATATGAACATTTTCAACATTTTAATGTTTTTATTTAAAATTTGATGGAATATGAGCTTCAACAATTATTATGTAAATAAAAATAATTAAATATATGTATTTATTCGTATTACAACCGTAGTAAGTCGATTCTTCCTTTCTTCTACTGAGTTTTGAATTTGATTTCGAATTGTAAAGAGATTCAAAGGGAAAATACTAGCGGATAAAAACTACCTCCATGAAAGGGTCATAATGGAGTCAAGTTGTATTTTTTGATATTTTTTGCTTTTCGAGCCTAAATAGGTAGCCAAGATAATGCCTAAAAATAAGGTTCTAAATTCTGAAGTTTACATGATCCTCTCGTGTGCACCCTTAATTAGAGATTAAATTTGATATTGAAAAAAATTCAGATTTAGTTATATAAATCAACAATCTGATCACATATAAGCCAAATGACCCATCCTTAGCTTTAAAATAACTTTTTTGAGAAGTGGAAAACAGGGTTATACGATACATCTTGTTTGGTCAAGGATTGCCCGCAAGGGAAAAAATTTTCCATCGTCACTCCGAAATTTTTGAAATTTTGAAAAAAATGGTTACTAATTTTTTGGTGATTTTGTTGCATGCTAAGTTCGGTCAACGATAGAAATTGAGTGGAAATTAATCGTCGAGGAAGTACGATTATGTAAAGTAAAAAAATGTTGTGGGATTTTTAATATTATATATTATTTTATAATAAAATTTTTTTGAGTCATTTTAAGAAGCACATATAATTTTTTGAATTTAAAAATTAAAGTAGTGTCAAACGAATTTATCACTTAATTTAATACTCAGATTTCTTAAAATTAATGAAAAAAAGGTTTTCTGAGAACTTTTGAGAATGGTTTTCAAATTCCATTATTGAAAATATATAGGTATTGTATGAAATTCAAACTCTATATTTATTAAAATTCTAAATTTTTAATAAAATAACTTTTCAGAGGAATATGATTTGAATGGTGATTAATAAGTATAAAAATGTCTACGATTTTAAGGAGGGAATTGTTCCTTATGAGGTATACATCATAACTATATAACTCATAAGGAACAATTCCCTCTTGATAGCTGGGAAACTTTCTCTGAATAACTTATCATTTGGAGAAAGTTTCCCAGCTATCTATTAGAAACTAAAGGCTGTGAGGCACTAATATATAATCAGTGCCTCATAGCCTTTAGTTTCTTATTAAAAACGAGAAAACTTGTTCGAAATGATAAACAATTTCGAACAAGTTTTCTCGTTTTAAGGAGGGAATTGTTCCTTATGAGGTATACATCATAACTATATACCTCATAAGGAACAATTCCCTCTTGATATCCTGTATATTTTTGAATATATTTTTTTAATTAAAGTTCTCAAAAGTATTATCAAAAGTGATTTTTTAAAAATATCTCCAATTAATTAACTAATTAAAAGTATTATATTTTTAAAATTAAATAGTTTTTCAATTTTTTTGAAGGAATTGAGATACTTCCCACGACAATAAAATTGAGAGGTTTACATTATGACTGATCTTAGCATGCAACAATTTCGACTATAGTGTATCATTTTGGATCTTCTTTATACAAAATTTATATTGAAAAAATGTAAACATTTGAAATTTATTCAACTGCCAAAAAATGATTAATTTCCCTAACAGCATTAGCCATTACAAATTTATTGAACCAATTGGACGCGGTTCCACTTCTGAAGTTCTCTCCGCCATATGTTTAGATAATCAAAACGAGATATCAATAAAAAAGATTGATATGGAAAAGTATCCAATCGAACTAGAATTTCTTCGTCAGGAAGTATCATTTTGGTCATCTTCAGCGCATCCTAATGTTGTAGGTTACTATGGATCATTCGTTGAAGGTACTGTCATTTACATTTTAATGGAATACTGCAGTGCCGGTTCCATTTACGATATAATGCGCTATGGATTTCCTCGTGGTTTTAATGATGAATTTATCATTGCTACAATATTGAAAGGTGTTTTAAATGCGCTTAATTACATCCACTCAAATGGTCAAATACATCGCGATATAAAGCCAGGAAATATACTCTTATGTGCAGATGGCTCCGTGAAAATTGGTGATTTTGGAGTTGCAGCGAGTCTATTTCAAGATGGCCAGCGTCAAAGAGCGCGTTATACAGTAATTGGAACACCATGCTACATGGCTCCGGAGGTGCTCACTGAAGACCACGGATACACAGAAAAGGCTGATATTTGGTCTCTCGGAATTACAGCGATTGAACTCGCGACTGGCGAAGCTCCTTATTCCAAATTGAAGCCTATGGAGATCATGGTTAAAATTCTTAAATCTCCGCCTTCGAAATTACCTACAAACGCTCCATATTCGGCCGAATTCAGAAATTTCGTTGAAAAGTGCTTACAATCAGATCCAATGAACAGAGCTACCGCTGAAGAGTTACTACGTCATCCATTTATCGCTAAAGCCAAATCAGACTCTTATATCAGCGCAACATTACTTACAAAGATTCCTCCAATTGGAGAAAGACTTCGTACAATAGAAAAGCAATTTTCTGCGTTTTCTATGAAAGAGCAAACACTTCCCCCGCAAGCAGAACATCCTCCAAGCCCAATGCAATGGAATTTTGAAGGAATTGAACAACCATCGCATCCGCATTCAGAACCGACAGAATCTATAACAAAAGGAAGGTTCACTATTACCAAACAACCAAGTTCTGGTCAGTCGAATCTTTCGGAAGCTGATAAAGAAAATCAACAACTGAAACAGACAGTTAGACAACTCCAACAAAAGGTTGAAAGTATGGAATGCGAGATGGACCAAATGAAAGACCAGATAAGATTGCTTACTCAGTTAGTTCAGAATATAATGAAATAATTTATTTGATTTTGTGTTATTTTTGTATGTTAAACTTTGTTTTAATAAATTCTTGTTTTATTTTCCATGTTTCTTCAAATTTTTCTTCAATTTTTTTATGAACACAATTGGACCTCCGAGATCTAGAGCTAAACTCGTTCCATTTTGGAAAACACTTTTAGTCGCAATGACAATGTCATTCACTTTAACTGCTTTTATTCTCAGAGAGTTAGATTTCGGTAAGCAAATCGTGTGCCCTTACTGTGATGTTCAAAATGAAAAGACACAAATGGATATTTCGCAATTAACATTCATAACATATGCAAATCCAGATCAATCAATCAACTCTGAATTCAAAAATGCAATTCATTCTTGGTTAAATGTTTCAAAAGAAGCAAAAGTTTTAATACTTCGATCAAATAACAGACTTGATGCAACTTTTACATTTCTTTCTTCATTTCCTAAAGATAGAGTTCAATTAGCATGGACAAGACGAATTGATATGAAACGACATATATACCTTGATGATTATTTCGAAATAGGAACAAAACTTATTACATCTAAATACGCTGTTTTCATTCGTCCATCAGTTTTCATTCAATCTCAATGGTTTTCTGCAGTTCAGAAGGCTATCCAAGATGTAAATACTAGTAAATATGTAATTGTTGGACAAACTTACCTGAAATCTCTCAATAAAGTATATGATTATACAGATTTCTTCTTATTCCAGGTTACTGACATGCCTTTTGATATTTACAGTATTCCTCCATTTATATCGAGCAAAGAATATTGGCCTGAATGGCTTTTAGGTTGGTTCAATCATCAAACAACTCTCTTTTCCTTAGATAAGTCTTATTTGGTTTCAAGTCGACAATTAAATGATGTTTTTAATCTAAACAATGCTATGACAGCTGTAAACAAAAATGTTGCATTTACAAATGGAAATTTTTCGGCAAATATTCGGGATGTGGCATATATGGCAACTGATTCAGGTATAATATCAATGAAAAAGACTTTGTAACTTTAATTGTATTTTTGTTTTATAAAAATTGGAGTTTAACTCCATGTTATTAGTTAATTTTCTTATTATTTTTCTCATCATATGCTTGAAAATATAACCATTCAGTAATCCTTTAAGAAAATCATTGCAATTTGATAGATATCTCTTCTAATTAAGCATATGATAACAAAAGAATCAAAAACATTGCATGAGTCTTAATATCCAAACATATAGTTAGAATAAAATCCATTGCTCTATTTCTGATGTTAAGATTTAATGGGTTCAAATATTAATTAAAGATGTCCAAAATAAACAATCTTTTCCTAATCTTTTATTACATATTATCGTTTGGCATAATAAGTGATATTAAAGAATTTCGAAATGTATCCGTATGCAAAAATAAATAGAGTTATTGATGATGAATATTGTATGATTCTTTGAATTAACTGTGCATTTACTGATTATTATAAGTGAAATGCTCTTATGCATTAAATTCATCAAAATTGAAATATTGCTTTACCACAGCTTATAAAATTGATAAATAATTGATATGTAGCCATATCTGATTGTTTCTCATGATTTAATTTCAGATAATTATTTGCACTAATCATCAGAATATTTTACTTTTGAACTCAATATTTTTTCAATACTTCGGACACTTTGTTATCTGGTCGACTACTTTGCCAAAACTTGGAAATCCAAGATGTAGTGGAGTATCATGAACTTATTAGTTTCTCGTAATTCTTTGAAATTACCTTTTTTTGACCCCTATACAAAAATTCGATGTTTATTTTTGGTTAGGGTGCTTAAATGTGTCCTTAATAGTTCTCATTTAAAATTCATTGTTGGTTAAACTTTAATTCAAGAAAAAAATTTGAGGGAGTATCTTGCGAAATAAATTGTGTGGAACTGTAAAATTGTGTAATATGAATTAAATTGGATACACTTAAGGAAGCATTTTTGAGAAAAAATAATTTCTCATAGAATAAACTTATCTCAATTAATTGTAAAAAACTGGGCATTCACAAAAGTTAAATTGAATATAAAATCCGAACATTGCTCTATGAAAATATTTTCTCGAACTAATTAATGAATCTTTTTTAATTCGCTTGAGCAAAAGTCTCCATCAATTTTTTAAGGGTGCACACGAGAGGATCATGTAAACTTCAGAATTTAGAACCTTATTTTTAGGCATTATCTTGGCTACCTATTTAAGCTCGAAAAGCAAAAAATATCAAAAAATACAACTTGACTCCATTATGACCCTTTCATGGAGGTAGTTTTTATCCGCTAGTATTTTCCCTTTGAATCTCTTTACAATTCGAAATCAAATTCAAAACTCAGTAGAAGAAAGGAAGAATCGACTTACTACGGTTGTAATACGAATAAATACATATATTTAATTATTTTTATTTACATAATAATTGTTTGAAGCTCATATTCCATCAAATTTTTAAATAAAAACATTAAAATGTTGAAAATGTTCATATATTTTAATAGGGTTTTGGAACTTTATTGAGGAATTACTACATACATAGTCGAACTGAACTTGATATTTTGAAATTTAAATTATTTATCGAAATTAAAATTTAACTTGAAATTTATAATTATTTAGTCATATTTTGCATAATTCTAAGTAGATTTTGTAAAAAATCAAGAAAGAAAAAAATTAAAGTGCTTTATTTTTCTTTTTTTATAATAATACATATTATTATATAATTAACATATTCATAATGTTTCACCCTTTCAAAAATATAATCCTCCTCCTCTCAAATAAACGTACATACAGGTGGCCTCTTTTTTCAAAAAATTAAAATTTGAAATTTTGGGCTCAAATATTAGAGATTTTTTCAACCTTCAACGATATATGTTGTCTATATCAGACCTCCTTTCTTTTTGATACTTAACATTGTTCCTAAATCTTAGCGTTAAGGCTGTTCTGAAAATATTTTTTTTTCGAAAAAATTCGAAAAAAATTCTTAAAATTCAAAAATCCCTTAATTCCTGAGGATTTTGGAAAAAAGTTTTTACATGAACATGTGTATATTATATGAAGTATATTGATAAGGTAAAAATCAAATTTTATTGCATATTCATCGAGAAAATAAACTAACGAATCCCTCAAAATTGAGAGGGTAATCCTCCTCCTCTCAAATAAACGTAAATACAGGTGCACCCTTAAAGCTTCATTCAAACTGAAAACGATTTCGTTTTGACTATTCCTTGAGTTATTTATTTGTTAATTACTTAAGACTTTATTTTAACTTTCATTGAATTATTCTTATTCAATTTTCAAATTAAATGAGTACTGAGAAGGAAGATATGCTTTTACCAGATAGCTATATTGAAGTTCCCAAATCAATCGGCAAATACAATGTAATGCATACGATCTCCAAAGGTAAATCCAGTGTTGTTGTCTATGCTGTCGATAAAAAAACGAATGAAAATGTAGCTATCAAAATCTTTGTTAGAAATGAAATTACAAAACAAAACATGATGTCATATTTTGAAAACGAACTTCGTTTAAGCTCACGATTTAATCATCCAAATATTGTTCGTGTATTAGAGATCATTTACGAGGAAGAATACATTATGATTGTCATGGAGTACCTTCCGAATGGTGATTTAACCTCCTTGCTTCATAGAAGCACAAAACTTTCAATTGAAGAAATGATGAAAATTACTTACGAAATTTTACTTGGACTAGACTATCTTCATAAAAGAGGAATTTCGCACAGAAACCTCAGTCCGGATAATGTTTTGTTTGACAAGTTCAATACTCCTAAGTTAATAGACTTTGGCCTGTCAAAGGAAAACAGTTCTATTGTTCATACCATGTGTGGAACACCACGTTACATAGCCCCAGAGGTAATATTATCGCGGAACTACGATGGAAGAAAGGCAGATATTTGGTCATTTGGTGTCTTATTACATCTCCTTGTTTGTGGCACTCTTCCATGGAGTAATTCGAGCGAAGCCCAATATGTTAAAGCTATCCAAGATAGCAAATTGCAAATTAATATTGAACCAAAAGGAATAATGGGATCTCTCATTACAAAATCACTTGTTATAGATCCTTTGTTGCGTGCATCTTCTGAAGAGCTACTATCATGCCTTGATATGAAAAATCACAAGAAAATAATTATGGCAAGGTTTGTTTCAGAGAGAAGGACTTCATCCGGCTCTATTCTTCCTAAACTCAATTTGTCCAATGGAATTCCTTGCTTCTCAAGATCGAGGCTCATCCATGATAAAGTTATCGGAAAATTACCTCAAAACATCAAGCAACCGAAGAATTTGCGTGATGTATGAGTTTGTTTTTAAATATTTCTTGTTATTTTTATTATTGATCAGATTTTTGAATGCAGAAAACATTTACAATCCCCGACCAAATAAAGGCTATCGGCAATGGGAAACGGAAAATTTCATCAACATCCAAGATGTATTTCCATTTTTTGTGAAATGATATTACCATAAGCAAATAACAACTATTAAGACAAATCTAGATTATTATATTGTTTAGAACACAAGATTGCTAAAATTGAAACAACAAATGATTGAACTATGTCTTTTAAAAGAATTAACGAAAAGAAATGTATGCAATCATAAAAATATATTCATTTTATTAAATACTAATGAACATTTTGCAAAAAAATATATGCTAAATATGTATATAAGTACCACATCCAAATTTGTTTCAATTACATTGAAATGAAAGAATAAAAAAAATAGTTAATATTTCATAAAAAAGATAAATAATAAACAGTTTATAAGTACTACATGTTTTCTATAGTTGTTTTAGTGCGTTCTACTACTGTGCAAAGTGTTCTATCATTTGGATAATTCTTATTAATCCATTCTAGAGTTTCTTTGATTTCCTTCTTATTAAAGTTACTTCTAAAGTTATGGCTGAGCTTTTGTTTATCAAGTGTTGCCATATTATCAATAAACAAAAGAATTGCGTTTGCAAGATTATAATTCATGGAATCCATTGGAATTGCAACTGTTGGATAGAAGATTATCCTTTGTGTTGCGTTCTGTTCCAATAATGTAATGTTATCTGTCACAGATAACATCTTTGCCAAAGAAAAATTAAGAGATAAAAGTTGGGCCATTATTTCTCTCATATTCTTCACTTGTGTACTCTCATTTGTGTCAAACTCGATCTCACTGAATTTCTGGGGTATTGAAATGAGTTGGTCGTAATAATTTAATGCGGATAGCATTGAAACTAAGACAAGTGCAGCAATTGCACGGAATATGTATGGAAGAACTGGTTGATCGTAACAATTGCTTGCTATATCCAACAAATTCTCCATAAAAACATTATAATAATCTCCCAAATTTAAATTTGGAAGTTTGAAATAAGATTCAAGGAAAAAGAAACAATATTCATAATTGTTTGCTGAAATATCATGCGGTATCTCTTCTAGTATCTTCAAAGGAAGGTCCCCTGCTCTATCCCTGATCTCGTCGTAATTTAATTCAAGTAATAATTCCATGACAAAAAGTGACGAACTTGCCACATCATTCATCGACCAACTTTCGCCTTCTGGAGTAAAAGTGAACAAAGAATACATATAATCCCAGAGCTGGATGGCGAAATCACGTGGTATTTGGTATTTATGTATCAAGAAACCTATGATTTCGATCAGAGAAGCTTTAAATGTGTCGGAAGATTCATCAAAAGTGGATTGAAGTACTTCTAGGAACTTCAAACTGTATTCAATCTTCACATTAAACAGCTCGTATGACAAAGAAATTACTAAATCCTCGTAGGAACCCTTTAAGGCGTTGATCATATTAATATCGTCATGATACTTAAGAAAATTATTGATTATTAGATCGGAAACTTGTCCGAATATGTCTGATGTCTTGTTTAAAAACGCTGCTATCCTTCTACTAAAGATTTTTGCAAAAGATTTCATCAAACTTAAGCTTGAAAGTAGGAAATCTGGGTCTTCCTGTTGTATTCCACCTACTATGAGTTGTTTTATGATGGAAACAAGGCCGTCTGAGTCTGGTTCCAAAAAATATGTTGAGCCAATATTTTTAATTGCGAATTTCAAGAGCTTTGTAGTGATGGATCGTACTCTTATGATATCGGAGTTCATGAATTGAAGCAAAATGTTCTGTCCTGATGAGTTTGGAGCCATAAGATTTTCGAAGATTTCTCGGATTTCGGGTTTTCTCGTCGTAAATGCGGCCATTATGCCCAACAACCCTTTGCAAATGATTCTCCAGTCATCAGACTCTAAGCATTCGTTGAAATAATCAACTTGCTCGTATACTAAATCTGGAATTAAATTTGAAAAATTGTTTAATATCTCAAAAGCTTCGGTTGATATTGAAATGTCTTCATTTGACATGAATTCAATATTTTGATCGTTATCGCTAAGTCCGTCGAGGTTGTTTATAACAGGAGTGATGAAATCTGAGCCAAATTTCGAAATTAAAGTCTCTTTGATTCGAACAACGACAAGAGATGGTAAAACGAGTTCGTATTTAGCTGTCTTCCTGTAAAATCTCATTACTTGTTGAACAGAAATTGGATTTGCCGAATTAATGTGAATTTGTGAAATTTCGAGTAATTGTTGTTGTAAACTTTCGGTTTCTGCAATTGTATTGTAGTTCACTTTGAAAAATGATGAAAATGAATAGAACATGGCTTTAATTAAGTCTGAATCTGAATCTGGAATAATTTGACTGAAATATTGTATTGAAAGCCCAATAAAGTTTGCTGTACGCCATATCTGCCTGTTTTTAACACGGCTACATATCGATTGTATCAGTTCGAAGATGGATAAAAAAAATTGTGGAGAATTTGTGAAATTTTGGAGAATTTTAAGGACTGATTCGGAAAGGAATGCTCCTCTATCTTTCATAAGTAATAGTGATTTTAATCTAGGTTCTCTAAAAACATTGGAAATCGTTCTGATTATTGTTGTTTTTGCAGAATCTGAAGTTGAATCACTAAAAAGTAATTCATAAATTGTATTGTAATAGTCTACTGATAAATTGAAAGTAATATCGAATGAAATTAGTTTGGCTATGATGATTGAAAGATAACTAGAGATGTTTTGATCATCACAGAGTTCTGGTGTTAATATAGAGTTGTAAAGCATTTGATTTACTATAGTAGTCTGTTGATATGTCTGATTAAATTCAGTCCAAAATTCAAAAATTTTGTTAAATGTACTGAATTGGGAGCCACAAAGCATTGATTTGATCTGAGTTAGACAAAATTGCTTATATTTTTGTTCGTCATTGCTTTGGTATAAAGAAATACAATCATAAAGAAAAATAAATGGATTTTCATGACGCAATTGGTTGAGGGCATTGAGCGCATCTTGATTTGGATTCGTGGAATCATATGCACTGTTAATTATCCCGACGAACTCTTCGAGAGTCGCCATCAACCAATTGACTAATAAATTATTGATATCGTTTACTGCAGGTTTAAAAATGAACTAGTAAAAATAATAAAAAATTTAAAAGTGCATGCCATAATTCAAAGAGTAGGTGACAAAAGTGCATACTCTTAAACAACCGTCGGATTTCCGGGTGAAATCGTGACACACTTTCGTCTTTCGTAGGCGGTGGTGGTTGTTACAAAAGGTAACTTCGAATGTAGCGTGAAATCTGCAAAAAAAATTCTGAAATTTGAATGGATAACACAAAAATTGAATAGTTTACGTCAATAAAAAAGAGAAAAATGAAGCCAATGTGTCTCGAACCTAGGACTTAGAGCAGCAATCCCACTGTTTATAACATTACACTACATGCATCTCTCACCTCAGTGAATGAGATCAACTATATGATAACTTTTTCCCCATTATATTCTTGTGGAAAAGTGACAAATAGCAACTTTGACCCTCTCTCATAATTCAAACAAATCGAAATAGAAATCTTTTTGCATTGCTTTATTATTGAAATATAGCCATAAATGTAAGATCCTAATGATAATAAAATTTTCTTCAATAGCCACAAAGATTGATTCCTAAAATTTAAAATTTGATGATAAAAAATATAAAAAATAGTTCATATTATTGTATAAATATGATTCAAAATCATGAACTTATATCAAAATTTATGCTCTTAATCAACAATGCTTTCAAGATTTGGTATTTTTATTTTTTAAACGGCTAAGGTACAAAAAATGGAGTTTTCATATGATGCTTCACGCTTTCATACCAAAAGTAACTATACAAATAGGCAGTTCTTTAATATATACCAGGACAGACTTAAACAACTTCGTCCTTTGATTGAATCTCAAGTTGAAGGTGTCCTTTGCAAGCAATTAAACCAAATGGAACCAGACAAACCATGCACAATCATTGGTGTTTTGTACAAGAATCTTTCTTCAAGACAAAATATTCTCGATGAATACAAAGATATCGGTTATGAATCACAAGCTCCTGAAGAATTAACTCAATCTGATAAAGATACATTATTCCTAGAAGATGAATCAGGTCGTGTTCAATTGGTTGGCCTCCAAAACAATGAATTTGTAACTGGAATTGTTATTGGCGTTCAAGGTGTTCCAAGTGCCAGTACATTCGAAGTTACTAAAGTAATATATCCTCAATACAATCCTCCAAAGAAGGTTGATGTTAAAGAAAGCCATACAATTTACTTCATTTCAGATCTTGCTATCAACCATGATAAACTTACAAAGCATCATATGGCACTTGCAAAGACTCTAAATGGTGCTGATCTTGTTGTTTACCTCGGAAACAACTTCCTCCAAGTTGAACAGCCAGATCCAGAAGAAATGATATCCTTTAATGAGAGGCTGAAAGCTATGAAGCCATTACCAATTAACAAGCTTGAGTCTTTCTTTACAGTTACCAAGTCAAAGAAGATCGTTGTTATACCAGGCCAAAATGATCCTTGTACAAACTCTCTTCCACAGCAGCCATATCATCCTGTTCTTCTCTCAAGTAAGAAATTCGTTCTCGCATCGAATCCATCCAAATTCACGGCTGATGGCTTGTTATTCTTATGTGATGCCGGTGAATCACCACGTGACATCATGAAAACAACAAGATATACATTCTCCGACGCTCAGTTTTCCATCTTACAGTGGCATCATATTGCTCCAACAGCTCCTGACCAACTTCCGGCTGTTCCTGTAATTGAAAAAGATGTTCTTGTTATGGAAGACACACCAAATGTCTTGGTTTGTGGTCTAGCTCCAGAATTTGAACAGAATGATTATAATGATGTTAAATTAATCTCTGTTCCAAGTTTCAAAGATACACAAACGATTGTTGCTTATGATACAAAGACTAATGAGGCAAAACCGATACAAATCACTGTATAAATAGATAATAAACAATTATGTCTTATATTTAAATAAATAATTGATATTTAATTTTTATTTTCGAATAAAAAGATGCTCATTACTATTGAATATTATTGATTTATGTATACAGTTTATTAGCGGACAGTATTTGCAAAGATTGATGAAAATCTTTATTTGGTATTGTAAAAATAACAAATTTTTATAAAATTTTAGCATTGTAGATGTGTAGAATGCTCTAAAATGCACTGACGCAATGAAGCCTCGATTTCGCCAATTTGGGAGTCAAATTTATCAATAAATTCAAGAACGTTAGCCTTTTGCTTTTCAATTTCTTCTAATTCGCACTTCTTTACATATCCGATTGAAGAAACTTCTGTTTTGGCAATTTCCTTTTCAATTTCTTCTGCTTTTATGAAGAATTCTTTAATTTCTTCTCTAATTTTTGCATTATTATTTGCAGAAGACTCTGCTATGAGTTGGAGAGCTTTTGCAAAGTGTTGATTCATATCATGAACAAGGCCACTCTTATCAATGTCTTCACTCATTTTTTTTATTGCAAAAATGGATAAAAGTGACAAATTAAAAAGGTGACAAGATTTAAGTGAGAAAAAAATGAAGGAAGCACAAAGAACGACTTGCCTTGAAATTGTAGATATTATCATCAAGCATCCTATTTCAGGTCCATTCAGGCTACCTGTTAACAAAGAATTGCTTCCGCAATACTACGAAATCGTTGATGATCCACAAGATTTGCAAACAATTAGGCAAAATCTCGAAAACAAGGAAATTAGATCGATCAGAGAATTTAAACGTAATATGGGACTAATTTGGTCAAATGCAATTCTTTTTAATGGAAAAGATAGCGAATATTCCAATTTAGCTAGAGAATTACAAAAGACTTTCGAGAAACTGATGCTAGATAAATTACCAACATCCACAACTACGTGGATGGAAAGAGTAAATTTGTATCAAAATCGATTAAATCATTTGATTGGAAATCCACCATCAAATATATCAGATTCTGTCCCCATTGAAGCACTTGAACCGAAATCACTTATTCCGCTCTCCGCTGCTGAATACAAATCCTTATTTTCATATGCAACAGAGTTACCTAATGAAGAAGATAGAGCTAAGCTGTTCAAGATGCTTAAAAAGCCTAAATCTGTCATAGATCTTACAGAACTTTCTTTGAAAACACTCCATGATGCTATGGAATTTGTAAAAGATCTCAAAAATCAAAGGAAACGCTCTGCTATATCAGCAGCTGCAGAACAATAAATTACTCTTTGTTTGGTGTAAATATATTAAAAAAAATTATTTTATATAAAAATGAATTTAAAAAGATATGATTTTTATGAACTGATTTTTTTGCATGTAAAAAATAATATAGAAAATTACGAAATGAAAACAGAGTTACAAATTTGATCGAAAAAATATCAAAGTAAATAATACGTTTTAGTACAATATAATAAATATTCATGATTAAAACAAAATATTGGTTAAAATCTCATAGTGCTTGTAGATTTCGGCACAACAATTTTTGGATTACCCATTGAATTATTGCTAGGAAGGCTTCTCTTACGCTGATCAGCAGTTTCAGATATTGGCGTAACTTTCGCAAACTTTAATTGGATATCTGCTAAAACTCTTGCAAGATTAACCGTTTTATCGGATTTTGCAGCTGTTCTAGCGATCAAAGCCCATCCCTTATGTATTTTCTGTGCTGTATCATCTTCTTGTTGTGATCCTTTCTTTGCTTGTTGAGTTAATTCGTCAAATACAAAAGGATCTAAGTCGTGCATCTGTTTGATAGCCGTTAACGATGCATTCTTTGTTGCAGGCTTCCAATGCTCTTTCATAATGCGCTGGTAAGCTGGATATACGATAGGAAATACATCATGGGTATTATCCATAATCATTTGTAAGATTTTTACGTTAGCCCATACTTGGAATGATGTTTCGACAACTTTAGCGTGCTGAGAAGTGGTTGCGCAACGAGCATATGTTTTGAACAAAGGTTTGCACATTATTGAGAAATCTTCTAACGATAATTTTTCAGCCAATGAGTTTAACAAATAAAAGTATGAAATTTGCTTTGAAGGACGAGACTCAGGCCAATGATGTAATGCGATTTCTAAAGTAGACTTTGTAATAGAAGGATTAATCGTTGCCATGGTATCGACTATCTCAAGGAATGCTGGATATATTGTAGCATTATGTTGGCATGAAATTAATGGCAATATCGAGTTTGACCAGATTTTTTCCATTAATGGTGATATTTTCTTAGACAATTTAAGCTGTTCTGAGAAGAATTTAAGAATTGGAAGGACTACGAATGGAAGACCTCCTTCATGATATTCAACTAATTTATAAGCGAAGTCTGTCATAACTGAATCAAGTTGATCGGGGAAGTTTGTAACATATGATGTAAAGAATCCAAGAATAAAATCTCTTTCATTTGGATCTGCACTTCTCAAAAGATTTGATAACGTTTTTCGTAAAGTATGATATCTTGTATCATTTGGAACTAATTTTTGATAATTTTTAATAATGTTATATACAATCGATAAATGCGGCCAGTTGATTTCGTAAATAAGTGGTTCATCATCATAACAAAGGTATTTCTTTTCAACTGGAGGGATTGATCTATTCAGATTTGCATAAAACATATTAAATAAAGCATCTATTGATTCTCCTGTTAAAACAACAATCGATGATTCTGTAATTACATCACAGATCTCTTTTAGCGTTGCTGTTTTAGCTGGTTTAGCTTGTACATCTGATTCTGTATCTGTAAAATCACACAAAACGGAGCATTGCTCGCATTTTTTGGCAAAGTTATCGAGATCTTTTTGAGAAAAAGGAGAACCAAAAGGCGGGGTTTTAGTAAATGGAACATTTGTATGGAACTGACGTTTGACAACGGGTGCAGTAGTAAGGAAATTTGGCACGCCATCATCAGCGATTGGTTCTTCTGTATTAGAATCAGATCCGGTGAAATCTGTGATTGGTTTTAATGCCTGTTGTTGGACTGTATGATATGATAATTTGGAAAGTGTTATTGCATTGTTACTCCTTTTCCTACATGTCAAAAAAGAAGGTCGAGGAATGGAATAACGGGAAAGCATCATATTTTTGATTTGAATTGAAAATAATCGTAAAGATTATTAATTTTTCTTTTAGCATTAGAGATCTTTTACCAAAGTAAAACTTCCTTTTTGAATAAATATATTGACTATTCTATTCAAATTTTATATACACTTTATCAAAAGTTGAAATTATGAAGAAATTTTGAGAACCATATTTTTGGGTTACATAGGTTATGATTCGTTTCTTTATGTGGTGTAGAATAATAGAAATCCAACGGTGTAGGGGAAAAATTCTATTTTTTATTGTCACACAAAAATTCGAATAAAAGAAACAATCAAATCTTATATGGTATACTAAATACCTTACAGTAGGTCAAAATATTCCAAAATAATTGGTGAATAATGTGCAATTACGCTAATAAAAATTTATTTTATTATACAAACAAAAACTCAAATCGCTTAATTGTTCTTATTGCCTTTCTTGGCCTTTCTGCGATTGCGTTTCTTGATCTTTTTCAGGTATTGAGGATATTCATTATATCTTTGCCAAAAGAGCTCAATTTGAGGAGTATTAATGCCATCGGTTGGCTTTGTAATAACATCTGGAGGTGAGTCTTGAATATATAGGAAAGAACCGTCTGAATCAAATGAAGAAGCTACATCAGTGAATGAAAAACAATTTCGGCTGTAGTCTATTGATTCCCAGGATGGTTCTTGAAAATTTGGAGTAAAAGATTCCATGTACGCTCCAAATGTCGAAGTAGGTAATGCTGAAATCAGCGTAACATCAGGATGCTCTACAGGAGATGGTGCAATATCACTCTCTTTATATAGCTCGTAATCGGTGTAGAATCTGAGGCCAGGCTCTGTCATCAACAACCAAAAAAAAGGTAAGTTAAAAGTTCATCGTTTTCGATCTCTCAAAATTTAAATTCAATTTATATTGATGTGGCTTATTTTACTCAGAATTTAAATGTCGAATAATATTGACTCTGAATAAATAGGTTAATATTAATGGATAATATATTGACATAAAAGTGACAAAACTGGCAATATTCACAATCAAACTCGGTTAAAATTCAAAATGTCTAGATCGTTATACATATAAGTAAATTGAGTTGTGATAGTACATGTAATATAATTATTCTCATCTAAACTCTCATTTTTTTTTCAATGATAATTTTGTGGCCAAAATGTTATTTGGGCACTTTTTTTCTAGATTTATTGTTCTTATGATGCATTTTATCTATCTGATATTAGATTCCAGATATATGTAATGTGTACTTCAATCAATTTATGTTAGATCAAAATGCATTTGATACCATAACAATTGGAACTTAAAAAGAGTGCAGATTAAGTTTGTCTGTTGATCAGTAACGATAGTAATTGACTTTCCATCTAATAAAACACTGCGGAATGTCATCGGAGAACAAACTAATAATAGTTTCCATCTATAAGAAAATTGCCATCTTTTCACGATATTTTAAGGGTGCACCCGCATGTACGTTTATTTGAGAGGAGGAGGATTACCCTCTCAATTTTGAAAGCTTCGTTAACTTAATATCTCGATGAATATTGGATTAAAATAGGGTTGTACAAACTGGCACAATTTTGCGGGCCGCCTGCCAGGAGCTGGCACACGGCCAAAATCAAAAAAGTGGCCAAAAATCGGGCCTCGTGGCGTGGAAAGGATGTCGCCCTTCGGGCTCCACCCTTAAACTGAGTTGTGGTTAATTTGGAATATTTCATGATTGTTTTGATGTCTTCGTGATCGAATGTATCAAAAAGATTTTCATTTCGAATATATTCATCGATGTGAGCACCAATGTATTCGAAATTCAGAGTAATACCTTGACTCATTTTTAAAATTTCATAACTTTACAAAAAATCTGAAAACTATCAGAAATCAAAAATTTGTTAACAAATAATGTAGATATTGCCGAACCGTCATGAATTATTATAAATTTCAAAATGAATCTTCATCATCATGATATTTTGCATCGAAAGAATATTCTTTTAGAAGAAAAATCAGAAGCTACAGTCAGATATCCTTTCTTCAATATACTTTTGTTAAAAAAAAATAATTTCAAAACTCATTGAGTGGGTCCAAGTTTTGTATTTTAAACGGCCGTTTTTTAAGGTTCTCCATTATGAATGATCCCCCCGAACCAATTGGAGATGGAGAATATAATTTCTCCATATGGCAATGCTTTTACTAGGGTTGGTTGTGATTGATTTGTAAATCACATATATCACATTCTCTCAATATGCAACTTCAACAAGTTAAATTCACGTGTGTTATTTTAATATAAGAGTATATTCGATATTTACAATTATTTTGGTCAAATATTCAAAATTTACAGATTAATATATTATATTCCCCTCAAACAAAATCAAATTCTAAATATATTACATCATCGAAATTCTACAAAATATGCTCGGTCCATGTAGAGAGCAGTTTCTCCAAGATCTTCTTTGATTTGGAAGACCTTGGAAAAATTGCTCTCTAAGTCATTGTAGTTTCGTATATTATGTAATCGAGAGTTAAATGTATTAATCAAAGATTTCTATTTCCAAATTCTTGAAAGAATTTGGAAATACAAATCTTTATAGATTTACAGATGTTGCTTTGGAACAAGCTTGTTTCAAAGTTTCGTAGTTATAGTATATCAAAGAGCAGCTTCTCCAAAATCTCGTAAAAAAATTGAGGATCTTGAAGAAACTGCTTTTTAAAGTACTGTAGTATCGACTGTTATACAACTGAATATCATATCTTCGTAATAGCTGTCGTTTAAAGAGTAGTTCCTGTAAGATCTCCAAAAATTAGGAAGATCTTGGAAGAACTATTCTTTAAAGAGGAATATTTGTAGGATCAGTATAAGCTGTGACCGGATAAGCTATCATTTTTGAATTGAAGACTATTCTTTAAAATACTAGATAATAGAAAATATATGAGTGAATTTAAAGACACAAATCATAGAAATTCTAAACATCATGGTATTTCAGAAATTTAGATACAAATTTTTGCATCGAGTAAAAAAGTGCTTCGAATTTGCTCAATAAGCTCACAAATGTAAAGCTTTTGTATAAGCTTTACATTTGTAAGCTCATTGTGTAAACTTGTAGTTCGAAATTTGCATCGAGTAAAAAAGTGCTTCGAATTTGCTCAATAAGCTCACAAATGTAAAGCTTTTGTATAAGCTTTACATTTGTAAGCTCATTGTGTAAACTTATGTTGGATAAGGTTTTGTCTTTGCATTGAATTTGATAATGCTTAAACTCGAAATCAATTTAATGCAAAAGTTGACTTTCAAGTTTAAGCAAATTTTTGGTATAATGTAAAAGATAAGCAACCAAATAAGAGATTATTAATCACTATTCTCATATCAGAATTGCCTATCTTGAAATAATTGGAAAAATAGGGTTTTTGGCCAGGTGAAGTGTACGTTTAAAATACAAAACTTGGACCCACTCAAACTCATTGAATATAATTAAGGTGGCTGTATCTGGTTCTAAAAAAATATATTATTGAATTTGATCGTGCTTTATTTTGAAATGATAAAATCCAGATTTTTATACGAAATTAAAGATAAAAGATCGAAATTAAAATGGGTGTTTCCTTTAGAAGTATCAGTCGAAAGGTTATTCTCCTTTTTAAAGAATCAGCTTATCTAACGACTGGCGTGAAGCATAGGCACCCTTAAAACTGAAAATTCAACTATGTTCAAATCATATGCGAAGAGCTAATAAAAATAAGTATTTATAGAAAATTTAAAAATATTTTATATATATAATTTTAAAACATGAATCTACATTTTTCTCTTCCAAGAAGAGCGTTAACATACACTAAGTTATCAAGCATTTCTTTATCTAGAGTTGCCTGTTTTCCAATTGTTTCAAACAGAGTGATATCAGTCACAGAATACTGAGAAGAAAGAGATTTTCTGTTCAAAACACAGAATCCAAATTTGCTGGAAATGTATTTTCTACTCAAAAGTTGCATTTGTTGCATAACCATGAAATCTGTTGTTGAAAAGTAAGGACTGAAAGCGCCAATGAACCCTCCAGTTGTCAAATAAAACAAAACTTTGTTAATAACACACAAACTAATAACTGGAGTGTCAATTGTAATGTTGGCAAGTTTTGTCATATCACTTTTTTGACATAACCCTAGAGCTCTTGATTCATTCACTCTTAATACGTATATCTCTCCTGTCATGCATCCAAATGCCATGGTGATATCATCCAAAGTGCAAAGTGAAGTGACATTTTTAACACCATCACTTTTTGAAATAATTTCAAATCTTTCTGCGACATCATTATAAACGAAAACAAAAACAGAACCATCGTCAAATGATACCCAGATCAATTCACCACTCCATGTCATGGTTGACGGTTTTGACGATAGCTGGCAAAAACCTCTTGACATTGTAATTTTTCCTTCTTTAATTTTGTAGTTTGTCAAACGGTTTTTATCGGCAACAACAAAAGAATCTCCTTTCTGATTCATTGAACAACAAATTACTTCTTCACTGAACATTATAAATGATATCACTTTTATCACATCACCTTTGATATTCAAATATTTGATTTGGTTGTTGAAAACAATTAAAATTGCGTCTGATTCACAAATAACTGATTTCGCTTCACTTCCTTCTTCAATTGAAATCGGTTCGGATGAAAGTGACGGTTTATCTGACGATAGAACTGTAACTTTTAACTGATTTTGTAATTTGTGAAGTAAAACCGTTTTTTCTTTTGAAGAAAAACCGTCACAGACATCTTTTGTGTTTTCAATCAGTTTAAATTGTTTTGTTATGTCTGTATCATACGGAATCACTGTCATGTCGCCGTTCTCTATCACTGCAATCGCAAGTTTCTCGTCTTCTGCCATGACTAATGATATAGTGTCAAAACCGCTCAAACCGATATCATATAAATTGTCATCAACAAGTAACAGCGATGTTTCATCATCAAATGTAACAAGATTGTATCTATCGTCGCCAATGAAAGGTGTCAGATGGGCAGCGGTTTTTCCTGCGTATAAAAGTGACACGCCGTTAGTGAAACCTGTTGGCAAAACCGGCAATTTGTAAATTGCTCCATTTTGGGATGCACAGAACAATTCAGTGAACGCATGGCCAAAGGAAAGTGAGGTGATGATTGATGGGAACTTTATGTCCTGACAGACCTTCTCAAATGAGAAATCGTAGAGTGAAATGGCCCCATTCATGACTAATGGGTCATTATCGTAGGAATAGACAGCGAAATAGTGCATAGAGACTGCAACGGCTGTTACTTCACCACTCAAAACCTTATCTTCGCGTTTGAATGACTCGTTTAAGATGGAAATTGTATTTTGTCCTGAAACTACAACAATTCTGAATCCTGTTGCGGCGACTGCCCTTATTGGCTCCTCAAATGTTACGACGTCCTCTCCATTCTCTTGGGAAAGGCCTTTTTCGTGTACTAAATAAATTGATTTTCGGAAATTAATGAAAGCAAGGGCTTCGTGTGCGGTATCAATATCTGCTTCGCCATAGACAACTTCAGTTTTACCACTGCCGGTCACTGCAAGGCATCCGCTGTCGACTTGCAACAATTTTTTGACTCCAATTGTTTTGGCTGGACTTGCCTGAGCTCTGTCTGCGCGGTCGCTTATGACGGTGACTCCGTTCTTACCTAGACCAAGCAATTCCCCGTTGAAAGGAAGAATTTTATTATTCAAAATTGTTCCTTCCAAAGGGATTTGAGGGACAGATGCCCAGTTCGATACTTTCTTACGAGCATTAGATGGCTTTTGGACTGTAAAAACCATCGATGTACCGTCATCTAAGTTTGTTATGACGGATTCATTCGGCAAAAGCCACATTGACTTAATTAAGGGGGCGCCGGGTATAAACGTGGCCTGAGAATTACTCAGAAAGTATAAATTGCCGGATTTGAGTTGAACTGCGCAACAATCGTTTACAACTTTAGTAAAAGCTTGGATTGGCTCTGTAAGAGGAAGTATTGGTGAGTTTCCGTTTGTAATGGCTTTGTTTGTGACGTTAAAATGTGATGATTTGCCTGGAGATTCGGTGTCAATGAAATATTGAACGTCTAAGTCGGCATCTTCAATGGAAATGTCTTGTTTTTTGGCTGTGAACTTGACAAACTTCTGTTCTGTGTCGTTTCTGGCGAGAATTAAGAAGGAATCGTCGGATGATAAAGATGTTACAGATTTTATTTGGAGATTTTCGATCTTTCTTGCGCCGAGAAGTGGGTTTTGTATGTCCTTGATGTCAATAAAGAAGAAATGGTCGGATTCTGATGCAATTAAAATCCAATTTTTATCTTTTGAAACGGAAAAATACTTAAATTTCTCTGTATTCTCATCAACTGATGTAAATAGGTCGATACTTGATATTTGCTTTAGTGATGTTCCAATTTCTGTGATAATTAACTGATTATCTTGAGTTATCGAGACAAAATAGTTGTTACTGTGATTATTCGATCCATGGCTGTTAATAACAGTACCCCACAGAAGTGGTGTTTCAATATATATTGTCTGATGTGCTTTAAAAGAAATATCTGTTCCTTTCTTGTACAAAGTTGCGATTTTTATGCATCTGTGATAATAAAGAAGAACATCGACCTCCCTCTGTCTTACATCTAAGACTGTGCAGTTTTCAATTTCACTCTGTGGTAGAATTGTCGAGTGAATGAAATGCATCAATAGGAGTGTTTGACCCTAACTATCCCCTAATTAATACCAAACCAAGATTTTATAATTCAAAAATAAACAACAGCATAAAACTAATAATAAAACTCAAATTAAGCCAATAAAACATCATATATTTTTACAAAATTATTGAATTTTCAAATGGAATAACTTCATACATAAATAAGAGGACAAAATTTAGTGGTGTTTCCATGTCACTCAAGAACTATTAGCAATGGAGAAGAATCGATGATATGTAAAGCATAGAGATGCAACATAAATTTAAATTATAGCAATAAAAGTAAAAATCAAATGCTAACATATAAAAATATGTAAATGATATTGATAGATAGAAGTTTTTATCATGAGAAACACATCCAATTCCAAGTTTGTGTCTTGATAAAATTGGAACAATAATAAAAATAAAACAAAAGATAAAATATATAAATATAAAGATTATAAAAACGAAAATAATAATTTGATTTTGAATTCTTTCAAATAAAATAAAAAAATTATTCAAAACCAAATGAAAATAATCATAAAAGAAGTAAAAGATAAAAGACAGTAGCAATAAAATTTGGTTCAGATCATCCTAAATTGTAATGAGAAAATGTATCAACAATTTGTTGGGAAACTTGGCCTCCGTAAGGTCTATTTATGTGGGAAATGTAGTTTGGAAGGAATCTCTCCATGAAATTGTAAACTTTTATACTTGATTTCAACAAATTTTTGTAAGGTTTTGATTTGTAGTATTTGTTCTTGATTTCGTCGAACATTGTGACCAGATGGATCCTTGAGGCTCTATGGTTATCGTCATTTGCGAACTCAATCAACGCCGGAATTAATAATTCGAAAACAATTGGATTTAGAAACTTGTCTTCTAGAGAAACAAGCACCAGCTTGGTTATTCTCGATAATACAAATGATGAATCAGGGAATTGTGCACAAAGTCTGATAATTATTTCAAATAATCTTCCAAAATCGTTCTTAAACTTGATAATTCCTCGTGATTCCGCATTGATAATGATATCTAATGATGTGACTGTCAATTCTGTTAGTCTATCTGTTCCTTCTACTAAATAATTCCAAGAAAAATTCAAAATTGTTTTGAAACTATCACAGAAGGTGTCTGAAATCAGCTCGTTGCATAAAAGCATCAGTTCATTGACAAAAAATTGATATTTCGATTGAAGAAGGAAGTCAAAAACCGAAAAATCTGAAATAAATTGTTGTCTGATCACTGTTGAAGTTTTTATCATCGACCGACCAATTTTAAGTAACGAGCAGATTAAATAGGCCACATCTTCCTCATTTCTTGTTTCAGCAAAATTTGAAAGATCTCTTGAGACTTTGAACGAAAAAGAGGTCATGCTATTGGAACTCTTCATCTTATTGAGGGATGCAGCTGATGGAAATGAACAGTTTGTGTGAATTGGAACATTTAATTGGACTTTTAATTCATCTGACGAATTTGCACTGACAAAATCACACATTGATGATTGTGTTAATGAATAACTAGTAACTTGGAGCATTTCGTAGTGCGTAAATGAGTATTGGTTATCTTCAAAGGTATAATCTGTGTTTGAGTCAGAATAGTCTTTGTTTTCGTCATTGTCAACATCTTTTTGAGCTTGTTCGATGATGGAAATGAAGAGATTCGGGATATTAATGTTGGATATGTGATCAACAATCAATTTGTGCTCTTTATTGCCGTTAAAGATGTATTCAAATAGTGATCTGATACCGGAGTTGTCGGAAAATCGTAAAAAGTTAAGAAGAAACGGAGGAATGAGCAAAGAGGCGTCGCGATCACATTGAATGATACCCATGAATATTGAACAAACTCTTACTGCTATTTTAGATGAAAAATCCGGTGAATAATTAATGAATTTTGTAATTTTCGAAAAAATGAGGCCTTTTTCGGTCATTGCTTTAATAAGATTGATTTGAGGGTTTGCTGCAAGAAGTACTGCGTTAATTCCGATTGATCCATTGTTCGGATCAAGTATAAGATCAAGAAATTCTGAAATATGGTGAATTAAATAATTTGTAACAATATCTGAATGCTCATTATACGCATCATGAATATTAAAATCTAATACAAATTCTTTTAGACTTTTATCAGGAGGAATTTCCTTCCTCCCGAAGCTAAGCATTTATAGAATTTAGATTGATCAAAAAGTGACAAAAATTGTGTTTGGAGATATAGCAATTTTTTTCAGATCATGATATTAATTCAAATTTAAATTTCTAATTTCTAATTTCTAATTAAAAAAATTATCACTCATGTTATCCAAATTTTTGAAAGAAAAATTGACCATTTTTCCAAAACTATTTGTAAAGTCCGATCAGGTTTCAGAATTCAATATTTTTTAATTTTACATACTTGTACACATTCTATATTTGTTTATCATTTGAAAAAATATAATTTGGAAAAGTTGTTGTTCAAAATTCTCAAAATTTTGAAGACTAGATCTGAAGTTGTGTCATTCGCTCTGAAATCTGTGATCTTGAGCTAAATTTGATTTTGCATCATTCTTCTGCTCTCATCGATTATACCAAAATCAAACAAAAAAATATGAGTAAATAATAAAATAGTTGAGTTCCAAATATCTTTCAATAATTAACTATAAGATGTTTATATGTTAACCTAGCGATCTAGCCAAATGGAAAATTTCAGATTGAAATTTTAACAATTTTTTATGGTAACGTGTGTGATTTTAGGGCAAATACGCCGGAAACCCCTGGGAAATAATTGAGAATAAATTACATGGAATTTGCCGGAAAATACCATGTAAAACTCTCAAAAATTCGGTCCCACACACGTCATTAATATATGAATAGCTTTGTAAAATCTTTTTTGCAGGTCCCTGCTTGATACTTTCATTTATGTAAGAAAACAAATCACGTTGTTGCGAAATTAGTTTTGTTTTTATAGATCTTTTATCTAAATATCTGATTTTTACATTATTTCGTCCAAAAGTTTTCGAAACTCGAAAGTATTGATGGCTCTTTGGTTATTTTGCCCATGTTTCGCTCAAATTGTTAAGTAAAAAAAATTGTTGTGTGAAAACAAATAATTCATAATGACTTAGCAAAATGTACATTAATTGATAGCGAAATTTGGATTTCTGATATTTCTCAGATTTTTTGTAAAGTTACGACATTTTAAAAATGAGTCAAGGTATTACTCTGAATTTCGAATACATTGGTGCTCACATCGATGAATATATTCGAAATGAAAATCTTTTTGATACATTCGATCACGAAGACATCAAAACAATCATGAAATATTCCAAATTAACCACAACTCAGTTTATTTCTCTTCTCAAACAATCATCACCAACCATCAATGCCAACAAATTATACAAATGTACACGAAATGCGAATGTTATTATCCAAAACATCGACGAGGTCTTTTCAGTTCTTAAATCAGTCAAAAAATACATGAAATTCAATATATTTGATGGCATCATTGATTTCTTAGAGGTAAATGGTAATGAAGTGCGTAAATCTGCAGAAGGAATCACAAAACTTCAAGAACAAAATCAATCAATTCAAATTGAACAGAATCAAACACAAGAAAACATCAATCATTCACAATATCTTTTAACTAAAATCTCATCACTTAAGGCAACTAATGATTTTGATAGTGTTTACCAATTCTTTGAAGAACTTTCTTCTCAAGGCAATCGCGAAATTATTTCAAAGGCTTGTGAAGAAGGACTTTGGAAGAAGACAAATAAGTATGGAGAGAATGTACTTCATATTGCAAGTTTCAATGGAAATCTTAATCTTGTCAAATCACTTATTGAATATGGCTGTGATAAAGAAACAAAGGATGATGATGGAAATACTCCACTCATTTCTGCATCATATTATAGTCATCTTGAAGTTGTTAAATATCTTATCTCAGTTGGAGCTGATCAAGAAGCAAAGAATAAATATGGACGGACTCCACTCATTATTGCATCAGATAATGGTCATCTTGAAGTTGTTCAATATCTCATCTCAGTTGGAGCTGATAAAGAAGCAAAGAATAAAAATGGATATACTCCACTCATTTATGCATCAAATTATGGTCGTCTTGAAGTTGTTAAATATCTTATCTCAGTTGGAGCTGATCAAGAAGCAAAGACTAATGATGGATATACTCCACTCATTATTGCATCAAATTATGGTCATCTTGAAGTTGTTAAATATCTTATCTCAGTTGGAGCTGATAAAGAAGCAAAGACTAAAAATGGATGGACTTCACTCATTCATGCATCAAATTATGGTCGTCTTGAAGTTGTTAAATATCTTATCTCAGTTGGAGCTGATAAAGATGCAAATGATAATGATGGAAATACTCCACTCATTATTGCATCATATTATGGTTATCTTGAAGTTGTTAAATATCTTATCTCAGTTGGAGCTGATCAAGAAGCAAAGACTAATGATGGATATACTCCACTCATTTATGCATCAAATTATGGTCATCTTGAAGTTGTTAAATATCTTATCTCAGTTGGAGCTGATAAAGAAGCAAAGGATAAGGATGGATGGACACCACTCATTTCTGCATCATATAATGATCAATTTGAAGTTGTTAAATATCTTATATCAGTTGGAGCTGATAAAGATGCAAAGAATAATGATGGAAAAACTGCACTCTCATATGCAAAGACTAATGATGTAAGAGATTATCTAATATCTATTGGAGCTAAGTAATCTTAACATATAATTTTCAAAACGCGATAATGGTACTTCCATCACATTATCGTCATTTAAAAGCTTTTAATTCTATATCAGATAAATAGATACAAAAAGTAAAATCTCATATGTATATAATTTAATATTAACAATTACATTTTTATTGAGATTATAAGTATTCAATTTTTCAAAAACATATTTTTTGTTATTCTATTTTTTTTTGTATGAATTTGTAATGACCAAAACAATTTGATTTACATTATATATATATATATAAGATCGTTAATAAACATTTAAGTTATCGAAAACAATATTTTATTAAACAAACAATATATTTAATTAAAATTTATAAATCTTTTTTCAGAACATTAATCATTCTCTTAATATGTCGTTGTGTGTCTCCAACAGGAGATAAGCACATGTCGACGCGCCAAACTGGTGTTTCCGTGTATCCGCCAAATTCTGTTTCGTTTGAGAGACTTAATGAGAATAAAAATTCGTTCCCGATCAATCTATTGATGCTTTTCTTTCGATTATCCTTAGTCATAGCATTCCATCCACCGGATGTGACACCCCATGATGGAATCTTGTCTACTGTGCACATAACTTCGACACAATCGCCCGTGCCGTCGTCAAGAGTCATAGTAACAAGCAATGATGCATATGACTCGGATGCTGAGATATGAGAATTGCAGTAACAACATGAATCACCACATAAAACTGTGCCACATACTTTGTGAGAGTGTTTCAGTTCACATGTCACTTCGACGATTATTGCCCTAACAATTTGTGTAATGTACCGATTGAGAAAAGAAATAGGTCTAACTGGGACAATGTCGGATGACAATAAGCCAGGTAAGCAAGATGTGTCGAAAAGTGTGGATTCGGGAGTGAAATCGAGAGCATTTTCTCGTTTAGACAGACCGAATGCGTAAATGTAATGGTTTGTCTTAACTTTAACAATCTCTGTTTGCAGATGTGGAGGAATATTAGTTATTGTGGCCCAAACATGTGAAATTCCGTATTCTTTGGAATTTATCTCTAAACAAGTGCTAGACCAAACACCACTAGTAATAAAATGGGATACTTTTATGACAGACCCGTGTATTGATCGACAGTTAGTTGAGTTTCTGAAAAGAAGACCATCTTGAGCTAAAGTCGTAGATCGTTGAGTTAATTGAGACATTTTACTATCACCTAATGCTGGAACTCTGAATATTAAGGTGTTTGGTCCGAAATAAAGACAAAAACCGCCTGTTTCGGATTGCATGGCGTCTGGTCTGTATAAAATGATGACATCGTTGAATCGGAGGAGGAGTTTTAAGGCTTGTCGTTCTTCGTCAAGTATTAGTTTGTATGGAAATGGAGTAGACCCATCTGTAACTGAAACTCCGTCAGAAACCGCTTCTAAGACTCTTAAAAGCAAAGAGCCTGGTAACGGAGTATCAAGTGATATCTTTGAGAGCGAAAAATTACTAGTTTCTGACATAATGAAGTTGATTTCTTCTTTCGTACGCTTTAAATCGATAATCATAAGCTGGTTTGGAACAATAACGTGATTAGAAAAACGTGCGTTAGCAATATGAACGCGATGACCTGGGGTAAGGAATTTTTCAACAAATGGATAAAAAGCTGAATGAAGAGCTAGTGTAAGTTGGCTGTCATTCTTCTGTTGTACAAGAGATAATGCATATGCTCCAGTTGTATCATAATATCCTATTCTTGCTATTGAAGCATGAACTGTTTGAGTAAGCTGTGCTTCTTCAGCTTTGACGTTCCAACTGCGTTTAATTTGGCCGGCTTTCTTTACAACATCTTGTTCTACTATTGTTGTTGTAATACCTGTTGACCATTGAACAATTAATAATAAAATTTGTTCAGTTAGCCAATTTTGATCGTGAGCAAGTTCATCAACCGATGCCAATGTCTTCTCGATCTTTTCTGAGATAATTTCATTCTCTGTTTCTATGAAGTTTCGTAGATCTAATGAATGTTTTCCATTCGATGAGGAAAACATTTATTTTTGACTAATTCAATGTTTTATATGAGTACACTCAAATTGAAAAATCAAAAATTTCTTCCATGAAGATTTGGTATTTTCTTATCTTGAAGGATTAATTAGATTACATAAAATTTATCTAAATGATGGATATGATAATGATTGATATTATTCATACTTTGGTACAATTTCCGAATTTCAAATTCCTCTCTTAGATATATTAAGGGACAAGGATTCTAGGAATTTAGTGCAAGCCGTTAGTAAGTTCGAAGATTTCATTTATATCTTATTCACATACTATAGCGTTCAAAATTGCACACTTTGCTCACAGATTATCATTTGATTTGGAGCTGAGATTTTGCAACAAATATATCTTTCCACGCATTGAATAATCTAAGTCATAAAGACCTTCTATTGTTGAGGAAAAAGAAAAATGATTTGTCATTTCCTAAAATAATAAAAAAAATCATTTTAACTAAGGATGTCAATTCGGAAAATTGTTTTCGTTTTAGGAGAATATAATTTTGGCAAACCCAAATTTTAGCTAAAAGTGACAGGAGAAAAAAAACGTTTAGTATTAAAAAAAAAGACCGATGAGAGCTTCGTTCGAAATATAGAGGGAACTGAGAATGCGCAACCATTCTCAGGGAATATTGGATGCTATTCCCGTTCCCTCTGTATGGAAAATTGAGGTTTTCAAAGGGAGTTAAAATAATATCAAATTTATACTAATTTACTTCAAAATACAAAAGTATTTGACAGCTAAAATTAGTTACTTTAGCAAGCCTATCAATACCCTTTTACGATTATTGTTACTTTTTCGAAATAAAAGTAAAAACAAATTTATACTAATTTACTTCAAAATACAAAAGTATTTGACAGCTAAAATTAGTTACTTTAGCAAGCCTATCAATACCCTTTTACGATTATTGCTACTTTTTCGAAATAAAATAAATTTATTATCAAAAACCTTTTTTTTTCTTAGTAAAAATAAAAATGTTATTTTATATCAAGTTTTTATTCATAAATTTTTATAATGTTGTATAAATTTGAAGGTGGAAATCTGTAATAATTTTATCTTGAAAAGACTTGGCATTCTCAACAATGAATTGAGGGGTATTGCATCCAAATTCTGTAATTTGCGTGAGAATACTAAGCTTGATTTCCATTGGGATACTTAATTTCGAAAAATACTGGGTCATTCGTTTTTGAACCTTTGCTGCCTTGACAACTTTATCAAGTAGGTCATCTAAACCCAATTGAAGCGTATTTAAGTTTGCTGATGAGTTAACTATTAACGATTTAATTTTATCAGTGAGCATTATACATTTTTCTGTATCCAGTCTGATTGTAGACTTTTTTGGCTTTTTTTCAGATGGCAACGGATTTGGAATTTTGTCTCTGAGCCTTATATCTTGAGAAATTCTGTAATAAAATGAAGGAACGATAAAATCGATTAATTTCATCACAAATCGATCAAATCTCATGAAAATTGTTCCGCCAAAGTAGTAATATTTAATTTTTTTGTTAATCGATTCTGAAATGTTATTTGTGAGAGCTAAATTTTCATCTCTTTCAGCGGCTGTCCATCTTTCTTGGTTTGATATCCATTGATTTTGTATGTATTTTGAAAATTCTGGGAATTTTTCGGCTATTTCCAGAATTTTTTTGAACGTTGGTTCAATCCATTCTTTCTTGCCATTTCTGCCGTATGCAAGATAGTTCATTTTTGTATCTAATATCAATTTGTCTGAACTCTCAAATGCATAATCTTTCAAATTTTTTCTGAACGCCCTCATTACATGAACTGCACACCAATGAAGGATAACTTCTGGAAAAGAGTTGATAATCGCATTTTCGATTTCTTGTGCACAATCTGACATAAAATATTTTGGTTTTACTTTTGCCCAGTTAAAAAATGCCTTGAGACAGAATGCAATATTTTCTGAAGTGTTTGGATAAACGACAAATTGAAAAATTGGGAATGCATGTGTATTTGGAAATTTGGCTGATATCATGTAAAACAACATTTTAAATTCAAGTAATGAATGGGTTGCATCAATAAAATGCTCTTTCACAATTTTGATTATGTCCAGAAATTTGAAAGAAGCATAATAAAAGATTAATTTCTTTGGTTTGTTGTAATTATCGACATCGAAATAAATTAAATCTTTTGGTGACTCTTGTTCTTTGATACCCTTAAATAATTGAGTTGACTTGAATTGATTATCATCGTACTTTTGAATACCTTTGATCTTTTTATTTCCTTTTTCCTGAATTGTTTTCATTTGATCTGAAGATGCATTCAAAAAAGATGGCCTGTTAAGTGGATCATCCAGATCAAGTTTTTTGTCGCATTCAATTTGAGCCATTTTCGGATCACCCCCTGTTTTATAAAATTAATAAGTACCCGACGATAGCATTGTGATAATGTGTGGTATTTCTTTGTCTCATCTTTGATTTGATTGTGATTATGTGTTCCATTATATTCTGTTAGGATATATTCTTCATCATCCTTTAGAAATGAGATACATGCTTCACATTTATCTGCACTGCACCTGAATTTTAATTTTGTTCCCCCTAAATTTGGATTTTTTTTAATTGATATGGACAACCTGCATGGCATTCGTTATCAATGACAGCTTTCATAGCATCTATATAAGATAGCCTTTCTTTAAGTTCGCATGGTGCATCGATATGCATCAAAAAAATGAAATGAAATTTCAATATCAAAAAAAGCACAAAATTTGAAAAAATTCACAAATCTCGGTTTCTGAAAGAAAATGGCCTCTTAAACTTTGTGCATATATTCATCTATAAGACACATTGTATCCATATATTATTTAGCCAACACAACTTATCTGGTATCGAGAAAATTCAAAAAAAGCACAAAATTTGAAAATTGCTCGGTTCTACATTCAAAATAAATTTCATTAATTTTTACGTACATATTAAGGTACTTATCTTCTACATATATAATCTTCATTAGATATAATCATGATAAATAAAATTCATAAAACATTAAAAATCAAAAAATTAGATGAACCTTGGCAATTAAACTTTATTAAATAATAGTTGTTTATAAATTATATTATATTATCATTTAATATTATTTTGATAATGAAGAGTTTATTTTGCAATAATATAAACGAAATTTTTTACCTTATGAACTTTTAATGGAAATATGCAAATTTAAAATAATAAAGAAAGCCGCGAGCTAAGCGAGCGGCTTAGGTCTAAGATTTTGATTCAAATCTTTGCTTATATTCCTTAAATTCTTTATGAAACTCGCAACAGTTCCATAAAAAATTTTAAATTCTAAACTGTCGAAATTACCGATCAGTAAACACACCCTTCACGGGTGTGTCACTTTTTACAGGCGTGTCACTTTTAGCTAAAATTACCCCTACTCTAAATTTGAGAGTATGTACGTTTAGGGCATCAAAAGTGTCAATTCGCTCAGCGAAAGCTGAGCTAGCTTCGTTCTCGAAAGAATAGGGAAGGAGTGAAGGAGAGTCATACAGATATTGACACATTCATATAATTTCAACAAATTTTGATCAAATTGAAATTCAATGAAATTCAATTCACTTCATATCCTTCAGTCAGTACATTGACATCCTTCTACATCACAATGATAACTCGGGCATCAATAGTTCTACAACTAACTCAGAAAAAAACAAGATTTTTACTTCCAGCTTACAGCTTTTAAAAAGTTTCGATGATAAAAATCACTCTACTCTTGTTTATAGATATGTGGTGATAGTAGGTAAACATATTCTTATCGATTTTAATAAAAATATTTTTACGAAAATCTGAGCCAATTACAGAGTTATTCATAAAGTCCATGATAACTGTAATTACTTCATCTTTGTTTTATATTTGAATAAACAATTTAATTTAAATTGCATAATATTTTTTGGTTGAAAGACAGGAAACTTAGTTGAGTTTGTATTATTTTTATCGTTTAATTCATCGTATCAGTGAGTGATCCAGATATTTAAGATATTTAGAAAAAAATTATTAATTTGATTAACAAATTTTAATCAAAATAGCAAAAATCTATTTGATAGCTGTAAACAAACAATAATTTTTATTTCAAGCAAAATCACTTATTTTTATCTAAACGTATAAAATTGTCAATTTTATGAAAATAAATTGAAAATCTCATGAAATGTAAAGGAGAGTAATATTTTTCAATTTTCTTTTTTTCTTTGTCTCAAATATTTTCTGTTGGGAATTTTCTTGTTATCAAAAAATAATTTTAATATTTGTTTATTTCATTACATACAATAAAATTTTAAAAACTCTATTTCTTCTCAAGAAAATTTTTTTCCTTCATATGAAGAAACATTTTGTTCTTCATTTGATACTGAGTCTAAATCTCGATTTTTGAATTTTCTTCTTTCCAAATTTCTTTTTTCCAAATTAGAAGTTTAATTCAAATTTTCAATAGTTTATATATTTTCTCAAACCGTCTCGGATTTTCTCACTTTTTAGGGATTTTCTCTCAAAATATACAAAAATAGTAATATCAATACATGTGTCTAATATACTTTAAAACCATCGTGACAAAATTCAAAAACGAAGAGTTCTTCTCTCCAAATTTTTTTCAAAATCAAAAAAATGAGATAAAAAAGTACGTTTGGAAAATTCATTTTTATCATTTTAGGAATTTTCTCACTTTTCTTCCAAATTGACATCTTTATTTTAACAAAAAAATAACTATAAAAAATAATAAATAATATAATAATAAAAATTACTGATTGATTACAGAAGCAGCTCTATTACATTTGTCTTCATTAATATAATCAACATAGACTGTTTTTGGATGAATAACAATATACTGTGGTGTTATATCAGGACACAAAGCCAAAACCGCAGATTCTCTATCTTTGTAAGTATCTTTTTTAGTTATATTTATCTTCTCAATTGGGAAAGACAACCAATTATTATGTTGGTTTTGTTTGAAGTCTAAAACCTTCGAAACAGCATCTTCTGCTGAATTCTTCATGAAAACAACTTTCGGATGCATCTTTCCAAACAAGCACTTGCAGAAACTCTTCAATTCATTCTTGCATTCCTTTGATTCGAAGCAAGCAATTGTTGCATGTCTAATTCCTCTGTTTAATTTGTCCAATGATGGATCAGTGATGAACTTAACAGCACTTGGAAGTTTCTCTTTAAGTAATTCATCTCCGACATCTGGTGATAAATTGGATATCAATATCTTCACGTATCTGTCATCATTTTCTTCATCTTCGTTTGTTTCTTTTTGTCTAATGTTGTCACTTTTATCCACATTTCTTTCTTTTGATTTATGACTTGGAGAAGCAGTCTTTGATAGCAATGTATCAATGGCATTTTGTATAGATCCTTTCTGTATCTCGCAGAAAAGTGGATCCTTCGAAAAAAGTGGCAGATTTTGGATGTCACTTGATGCATCGACACTTTTTGCCGATACGTAAACTAAATATGCCACATTTGGTGGTTGGCAGAGAGGCTGCAGAAGAACAGAAGGAATGACAGCTTCTGTATGAGGAAGATTGGTTTTGACTTCTAAAGGAGTCACTTCACTTCTTAAACCAGCGACAATCCATCGTGAAACTCTCTTTTGTTGAGCAGAAAACATGGCTTTGAAGATGTTATTTACAGCACTTTCTAGTTTACCTGTAACTGCTTCGTAAAGTTTTGTTTCAACGAACATTTTTTCAGGTAAAGAATCAATTTCACTATTCCAATTTTCTGTTGAAATTCCATCGAATTTAACTAGAAAAGCTTTTGATTCTGGACAGTTTAGTGTTCCTAAGCCTTGATCTTCTGTAACTTCTGATGCATTCTTTAAGAACAGTTTGAGTTGTATTGCATTGAATTCAGGGCGAATTCCTGCAACAACGTATTTAGCTGATGATGACTCAGAAATGATTGATTCTACTGCAGAATCAACACCATCTTTCGCAGATGTGTACATGGCGCGGTTGGAATGGAACAAGTTCTTTGTGCTGTTTATTTTTGTCTCGAGATCATTGATGTCCATGTTTTCGCCCGTGTAAATCAAATATGCCATTGATTCACTGGAACAAAGTGGCTCCAAATCTTCATCGTATTTGACTGTTTCTACTCCTAATGTCTGTTTGAGCATCGATGGAGTGATATTCCCAAGAAGATTGGCAACAACAATACAACTGGAAGTGTCACTTTTATCGAGTTGAGCTGTATTCTTTGATGACAAATTTGTGAGTGGTGGCGGTTTGCCAAAACCACCTTTTCCTTCTACAGGAGTTAGAGAAGGAATTGAAGCAAGTTTTGGTGCGTGCATTTGCAATGGTGTACCACTGAAACTTGCTCTTTGCAATCCGAAATCACCGGAATTTCCGAATGGACCTCCTCCAGCGAAAGGACCTTCTCTGAAAGGAGAGAAAGAGGAATCATCCATGAAAGGAGAGCCTCCGAAACCAGGATTGCCACGAGGAGACATTCCGAAGGGTGGTGTGCGCTTGAATCCACCTGTCCCATCGAAATTACCTTGTCCAAATGGATGGAAAACAAAGTTTTCGTCGCCAGGACGAGGAGAAAATTGTCCTGGTTCGATCTCTTGCATTCCAAACTGTCCTGACATCATCTTTGGGCCATCGCCTGGTCGTGGTGAATACCTTTGTGGAGGAACAGCTGAGAAATCGGCGGCAACAGGTATTCCAGGGGGAACCTCCATTCCTGGACGGGGGGAGAATTGGCCGGGAGGAAATTCCATGCCTGGTCTTGGTGAAAACTGGCCTGGTTGGATCTGTTCTGGAGCGCTCGTTGTGATTTTTGGTGTCATCATGCCGGATGGAGGGTTCTCCATGCCTGAACGTGGTGAAAATGCTTCAACTTTGTTTGATCTGGAACTTGAATTGTCTGCTCCTGCTGATAATGGACGCGGACTGTTTTGGAATGGTCCTCCTTTGAGACCTGGAACGTTCTGAGCTTGGCCAAATGGAGTTTCGTTAATTGGCAACTTATTTCCAAGTCCTTGAACGATTGGAGCTTCTTTAATACTGATATTCTCTTGGTTCTCGTCTTCTTCTCTGAATTCTGGAGGTGCTTCGATCTGTTGGCCGAATGGATTTGGTTTGGTATTTTGTTGATTTTTGTTTTTGTCTTCTTCTTCGATCTGTTGAGCAAGGCTTGGCATGTGTGGTGACTTGGGTATCTGTTGATCGCCGTCTTTATTGTCTGGTTGGTCAATAAGTTTATCTTCATTTGATAAATTCTTCATGCCACCATTCAATGGAATTCCTTTGCTCTGCTCATCAATTGGCTGTCCAAATCCACCTCTTACTGGACCGAATTTGTTGCTGTCGTCTATTGGTTGGCCAAATCCGCCTCTGACTGGTCCAAACTTATTAGAATCATCAATTGGATGTCCAAATCCACCATGAACTGGGCCGAATTTATTTGAATCATCGATTGGTTGGCCGAAACCACCGCGAACAGGACCAAATTTGTTTGAATCATCAATCGGTTGGCCAAATCCGCCACGTACATGGCCGAATTTATTACTATCATCTATTGGCTGACCAAATCCGCCTCTAACAGGTCCGAATTTGTTGTTATCGTCTATAGGTTGTCCGAATCCGCCTCGAACTGGTCCAAACTTGTTGGAATCATCGATAGGTTGGCCAAATCCGCCTCTTACAGGACCGAATTTGTTTGAATCATCGATTGGTTGGCCAAATCCACCTCTGACTGGTCCAAATTTATTACTATCATCAATTGGTTGACCGACTCCACCTCTTACTGGGCCAAACTTGTTGTTATCATCGATTGGCTGGCCAAATCCGCCTCTAACTGGACCAAATTTATTATTGTCATCAATAGGTTGGCCAAAACCTCCTCTAACTGGTCCGAATTTGTTATTATCATCAATTGGTTGTCCAAATCCGCCTCTTACCGGACCGAATTTATTTCCATCATCTAAAGGTTGACCAAATCCTCCGCGAACAGGTCCGAATTTATTTTCTTCTATTGGTTGTCCGAAACCTCCTCTCATTGGACCGAAATTGTTTCCGTTATCGAATGGTTGGCCAAAACCACCTCTCATTGGTCCATCGTTCATTTGTCCGAATCCTCCTTTCATAGGAGAGAAAGGTGGTTCGTTTCTTGTTTCAATTGCTTGGCCGAGAGGTATCATTCCTGGTGGAGTATTTGGTTTCGAGAAATCAATAGGATTAAATTTAGGATTGGAGTCACCAGAGCCAGCTTCAAAGTTCATTCCGTTCGGAGGAAACCTTCCCATTGATGATTCTCTCGATGAATTTTTACTTCCTAATTTTTCATCTCCAGGAGGTGTAAGTTTCGGTGGTCTGCTATCAGAAAGTCGTGGTGATGATGTTTTGTCTGGTTTTTGTCCGTATAAATCGCAAGCTTTAAGATATCCGTCTGCTGTACCAAAAGTTACTGAATGTCCTGCGCGGTTGCTTGATATGAAGATAACCGGACCGCAGAATTCGTAAACTGGGCGTACAACTTCAGAGGGCATCGATGGAGGGATACTACTGCAATTTAACGTAATATCAGCTGCTGAATATACTTTTGCTTTCGCAATATCTTCATTCGGTGGTATTAAATAGCAATTTTCGACTTTTACGATGTTCTTTATTCCGAATGTTCTTGCTGGAGTCTTCTGAGCATTAATAATAAAGCCAGGGACTCGGAAGAATTCGGAAACTGTTAGTTCTGTATCATTAATCATATCAAAATTCATTTGATCGAAAGTTTGTGCTGTTTCAACATCATCGAAAAAGTATGTATAATATCCTCCTGTTTTGTTGATCTTGCATTTTTTGCCAAAATTGTTGATAGAAATGTTTGCAAAACGAATGTGATCCGGTGAAAATGGTTTCAAGAACTTTAATCCATCAATTGTCCTTAAAATATTGAGCGCTGCTGCTGCATAATCACTCTTTGGACAGATTGTAACAACGCTATTTATGTAAAAAAGATCTCCGAAGGTTGTAAGGAATTTATTGCCGTTAATTGTTGTAAATTTTGGTATTAAATATATTTCATCTTGATTAAATTGGAATCCTTGTAGTTTAGTAATTTCTTTAGGTATGGCGCCTGCTTTCTCTGTGATATCTTCTTTAGCAAGGATACCTTTGAAAACTAAAAACTGTGTGACGAAGCTATTTATGCGAAATTTGAAGAGTTTAGAACCTTTTGGGTGTTGAACTTTCTCCTTTGGGTCATAAATAGCTATTGTAAACTGCAAATCCATATAATATTGTAAAAAAAATTGAAAACTCGGTTCACTTTTCTTTCAAAATTGCGGGAGATAGGACTCATGTATTATATATATATTCTTTTATCGCAATTTTAAACGAGTATTCTTGCATTCAATTTTTTTCTCAAATTTATTTTTATGTTATAATCTCACTCATAATCATGTGACAAATCAATTTTCTTTTTCTCCTTGAAATCGTTTATAATTTTTAGAACAACAGGAAAATTTTGAAGTATTGATTTGGTTTAAAATCAAGCAATATGGAGATGATACTTTGAATCAGCATCGTGATCGCATCTTGGTTCTGCCTTTTCTTTTATCATTTTCCATATAAGGTATTTTTGAACGTAAATTATCTGTTCTGATTTCTTAATATAGTTATCCATAACTTGAGCAGGAATGACCTAAAGCAATTTTAATATGTGACTGACGAAAGAAATATATGCATTTGGCATTAAAAACCTTTGAAATGAAAATATTCAAGTAAAAATCGTATGCGATATAACACTAAAAAGTTTACAAACGCAACAAACATAATAATTATCGACGCTTAAATATGTCACGATGTCCAGGGAAGCGTGGCCTAAAGATTTCGTAGGGATCCCTAATTTTGACAGTAACGCGTGGATCTGTGCCCACAGATTTTTGGAGAATGTTATTTATGTACCATACATTCTCCATATTTAATTCTGTTTCAACATGGCTATAAATATATTTCTCAAGAAGAGGTTTTTCTTTAGAGAATAGATTCACTCCTAACCCTAATTTATTCCCTTGATTGTAGCACCGGCTGCAGCCAAAAGTGTTGGTCCTACGTCAAATACTGAATAATTTCTTGTTGTTCCGGCTTCAGGACGTAATTTTGAGTTAAATATTGCATTGAAAAGTGTTCTTTTATATCTTTCTCTATGAGATCTTGAATCTAATTCTGGATACATCATTTCATGGTCTCCTTGAAGCATAACAACTGTATCTTCATAGAAAGGTTGTTGTTTTATCCATTCTACGAACTTTGTGACTTGTCTGTCTGAACACATGATTGTATCAATTTGTCGATTTGCAGTTCTTCGACAATAAGGGCAAGTCAAGCCCGGAGCATGGGTGTCAAGAGTCATAACAACAGCAAAGAATGGTTGGCCTTGTTGGGAGACCTTTGTAAGCTGCTTTTTCGCAAAATCTAATGTTACATAATCTCTTACCCAATCAAATGAATTTGAATAATCAAATGATGAATATATGTCTTCCCTAGAGAATCCATGTGTTGAAAATATAAATCCTTGGTGACATGATGAATAAGGGGCTCCAAAAATTGCCAAATTTTTATAACCGTTTTCTCTCAAAATATCGCTAATGCATTTTACATTGGGATGGAACATTGTATCCTGGTTTTGATTGATCACTCTGTTCTGGAATCCCAATATATCTGCACATATCATGGAATATGATGACCCTCCAGTATAAGAAGTCCTCAAAAATTCAAATGCTCCACCCATCTTTCCTTTTTTATGGGAAAAATGCAATGAATCTGAATGATTGGCAATGTACTCAAGCTGAGGAATCAATTGTTGGTCGTAAATTCCTCCAGATTGTCTGGATAAAAATGTAGATTCCATTGATTCGAGAATAACAAGAATAATATTGCGTTTTTTACCTTTGAATCTGACTAATCCCTCTGGTTTTATATAATTATCTTTCATGAAATTTGAATTTGAATTTACTGAATCATTATAAAGGTTTCTGGCATTGTGAACAGCAAAAATCCAATATACTACTAATATTAAGTGTATTTTAACCGAGAAATTAATGATAGGATGTTTTTCTGTTATTGAAATACTAAATGGTAAGAATTTGAAGCATGAAAAGATAACTAATAAGGTTGATATGAGGCATTTAAATCCATTGTATTTCATGAACTGTAAAATAATGGGTTTATATTGTTGTAAATGAAATTTAGAGTTTTTGACATTGAAAACCATTTGGAGATTCTCAAGTTTTACTTTACCGTAATGGTGGTATGCATTTTGAAAGCCTGCAATGAGAAATGATGCTAAAATGATCAATAATGATAACGAAATCGTTTCTAATATATGTATTCTTGTTTTCCTTCTTGATCCAAATGTCCATTCTTCGGTAAAACTGCTCCTAAATGATATGACTTTCGGTTTACAAAAGCCAACAACAATAAAAATAAACGTTGCTATGGATACTGTGTAATAATTGTGATGGAGCGTAGTGATGCATGCTATTCTTGAGGCTTCGTAAAGAATTAATAGTGATAAAAAGATTTTTCGTATAATTTTAGAAGAAAATTCTCGATTTTGAAGATATCTGATGAGAAGAAATGCTGTAGTTGGTACTATATAGTATAAGAATATCATTGCTTTGTTGATCTTCGATATCATAATTAAGGGTGCACACGAGAGGATCATGTAAACTTCAGAATTTAGAACCTTATTTTTAGGCATTATCTTGGCTATCTATTTAGGCTCGAAAAGCAAAAAATATCAAAAAATACAACTTGAGTCCATTATGACCCTTTCATGGCGGTAGTTTTTATCCGCTAGTATTTTCCCTTTGAATCTCTTTACAATTCGAAATCAAATTCAAAACTCAGTAGAAGAAAGGAAGAATCGACTTACTACGGTTGTAATACGAATAAATACATATATTTAATTATTTTTATTTACATAATAATTGTTTGAAGCTCATATTCCAACAAATTTTTAAATAAAAACATTAAAATGTTGAAAATGTTCATATATTTTAATAGGGTTTTGGCACTTTATTGAGGAATTACTACATACATAGTCGAACTGAACTTGATATTTTGAAATTTAAATTATTTATCAAAATTAAAATTTAACTTGAAATTTATAATTATTTAGTCATATTTTGCATAATTCTAAGTAGATTTTGTAAAAAATCAAGAAAGAAAAAATTTAACGTGCTTTATTTTTTCTTTTTTATAATAATATATATTATTATATAATTAACATATTCATAATGTTTCACCCTTTCAAAAATATAATCCTCCCCCTCTCAAATAAACGTACATACGGGTGGCCTCTTTTTTCAAAAAATTAAAATTTGAAATTTTGGGCTCAAATATTAGAGATTTTTTCAACCTTCAACGATATATGTTGTCTATATCAGACCTCCTTTCTTTTTGATACTTAACATTGTTCCTAAATCTTAGCCGTTAAGGCTGTTCTGAAAATATTTTTTTTCGAAAAAAATCGAAAAAAATTTTTAAAATTCAAAAATCCCTTAATTCCTGAGGATTTTGGAAAAAAGTTTTTACATGAACATGTGTATATTATATGAAGTATATTGATAAGGTAAAAATCAAATTTTATTGCATATTCATCGAGAAAATAAACTAACGAATCCCTCAAAATTGAGAGGGTAATCCTCCTCCTCTCAAATAAACGTACATACGGGTGCACTCTTAATGGAAAATGAAGTTGAAAAAAAAATTGAATACTGTGAAATGATTTTGCCAAATCAACCACTTTGTAAAAGTTACATCAGTTTATCTGACTGCTATTAGATGTATGAATAAATTGTATATGGGTTGTAGGAATAGTATGCATGGTAAAAGCAATGATTTGAGACTTTCAAACCTAAAATAAATTGAGAAATTGCATATTATACTTATATCAAAAGATCTTTACAATGATGATATCTCTTCAATCACTTTTTCATATATGATTATGGCTAACATGTCGAATACGAATCATGATATATGAGGATTCATTTTAGGTCACTTGGATAAAAAAGTGACAAAATGGATTTAGATAATCTTATTGAGCGACTTCTGATACATGAGGATATTCCTGAGCAAGATTATATCTGTTTATTCAGAATGGCTCAAGAAATTCTCTTTGAAGAAGGAACATTATTGAATGTTTCTTTGCCAATCACAATTTGTGGAGATATTCATGGACAGTTTTATGATTTAATGCGCTTATTCAAAATATCAGGACAACCAAGTGACACTCGTTACATTTTTATGGGCGATTACGTTGATCGTGGCTATTATTCGATGGAAACCTTTGCCCTTTTAATGGCTTATAAGGTAAAATATCCCGATTCTTTTTACATGCTTCGAGGAAACCATGAAAATCGTAGTATTAATGCAATTTACGGATTTTATGATGAAATTGTTCAAAGATACGGTCATGCCGGCTTATGGAAGTTATGCAATGAAGTTATGGATATGCTTCCAATGGCTGCACTCATAGAAAATAGAATTTACTGCGTTCATGGAGGTTTATCACCCGAAATTAAACTTGCCGATCAATTAGCTCTACTAGAAAGACGTCAAGAAATACCTCAAAGTGGTCCTCTACAGGATATTGTGTGGTCAGATCCAGAAGATATCTCTGGCTGGGCTACAAACCAAAGAGGCGCTGGTTTACTATTCGGAACCCGTCCTACAGAAGAATTTTGCTATAATAATAGGATTGAATTGATTGCTCGCGCTCATCAAATGATGCAAGAAGGATATATGTATCATTTCGGAAAGCAACAGTTGGTCACTGTTTGGTCTGCACCAAACTACATGTATAGACTTGGAAATAAGGCTGCTACATTATACGTTGATAGTAATGGACAAAGGACATTCAGAGTCTTTGAAGCTGTTCCAGATTCAGAACAGAAAGTCCCAACCGATCATGTTTCACCATACTTCCTTTAATGAATTTCCAATTTTTTTTATTTAAAAAAAATGTCACTATGTTTTAATTGACAGCTACTGTAAAAATATATTTCTACTCAAAATTATATACGAAGATAATCTTTGATATTGATGATAGCAAAAAAAAATTCTCCATATTTTCACACTCAAAGTTTGTACCGATAAAATAGACAATATATGCATATTTATGCAAGATAAATAATGTTTAAGTAAGGGTTTCGTTTTGCTAAAATTGTCACTTTTATAGCATATTTGTTTTTGGATGTTTTGCGAACCAAAAAAAAAAAACTATGATATACAATGTGTGTGTAAAGAAAATACTTTATTTACTAGTTAAAAAAATCATTTGGTATTGATCAAGTTATTTTTTCTGGATAAGATATTATATGGATAATTGGATAGAAAATACAATTATATAATCTTGTACCTGGTTTAATTAAGCTAATTGTCATCAGAAACTTGTAATTTTTATGAATTTCAGATTTTCTTTTCATTACTGCTTTTCTTAATAGGTCAAGTTCTTATTTACGTTATAAAGTATGATATTTACAAATATCAAGTTATCATGTTTTTTGAGAAATTATGAGAAACAAACAAAAATGAAAAAGATAGGAATAGCAATGAATAGTGATGTGGGTATAGAAAATGTAAGAGATATGAATGCAAAGCAATCAGTATTTAGGACATTGACCATAGATTTCGAAAAAAAAATGCTGCATATTGAGCGAAAACTATGATTATATTATAAGGCTGTCATTTAAAGCATAATGAAACTATTCCCTTTTCATTTTAATCGAATAAGATAGTAAAGATTTTTGAATTAGCTAGAAACTGATGAGATGTTTTCACAAATCAGATTTTTAATCTCTATAATGCATAATTCACTCAATATCTCAATTTTGATATTGCGAGATATTTTTGCTATCGGTTTCGCAATTTTGACACAATAGCAAGAGGGTTCTATAAGCATTATTATCAACGTAGAATCTGAATATCATATCAGAAAATGTCGCAAATCTGACATTTACCCGACAAAATAGCAAAAATAATTGAATACTTTTCGCAAAAACTTTAAAAATCGATAAAAATATGAAATATAGATATTAAAGAGACTTTTTATATAATATTCATAAAGATTTTCCAAAAATATGATACCGCAAAATTAAAAAAGTGACGTCTTGAGTGGAGTCAAAGGTCGAAATTGCTAGCTAAATGTTTTTTTAGCGAAATTGCGTATTGTACGTTTTTTCGCAAAACGAAACCCTTAGTTTAAGCCATAACATCATCAAAATGATTTTTCTTCGAAAATGAAAAATAGAAAAATCATTATTAATCTTTTCTTAATAAGGAATTTTGTTTCACTTGACGTATATATTGTCTGCATAAATCATAAAGGTTGATTTGTATCTTGATTATCAATGGCCAAATAAGGATATTGGAAATCATTAATTATTTATATCTCATTGGTAATACATTAGTAATTGAAATGTCTGAAAATGATTTCAACCTCAATCAACATGAATTAAGAAATCGAAACCTAAAAAAATTCGAAGGTATGGATAAAATATGTACTTTAATAGAAGCTTACGATATGCAATTTCTGATATGCTAAATAATGAAGAGAACTGTCATTTAGAAATTGAAAAAAGGTTCGTTTCCATTTAAAAATTATTATGCAATTGTGAAAAGAGTATGTTGACCACTGATTTATGCATTTCCGATTTAGGAAATTTCGGTATCCTTCACAAAAGTCAATTATAAAATCCCCCTGAAAAAAATGAGAGCGATCTCAAAACAAATTTTTTAATGTCGAAAAAAAATGATAAATTTGCTATTTGGGTAGTTTTTCTACTCCCGAAAATCCATAGAATTAATTTGAATAGTTCTTTTTTTGAGAGTGTACCGGCATTGAAATATTCGTATATGCCAAATATTTTTTGTATGACTGCAAACTTGATGCCTCAAAAACAATGCAATAAGATGAGCCCGATTAAAGACGTAGAAAAGCCTAAATTCAAACACAACAAATGGACTAAATGTGAAGATCAACTTCTTATAAAATTAGTAAATAATTCGTCTCCAATTGTCTGGACATATATTGCAGAGCAATTCCCCAACAGAAATAAAAGACAATGTTTTGAAAGATGGAACTATTATTTATCACCAAATGTTAACAACAGTAATTGGACAAAAGAAGAGGATCAAATATTGCTAGAAAAATATAAATTATATGGATCAAAATGGACTAAAATTGCTAAGTATTTTAAAGGGAGAACAAACACAAATATAAAAAATAGATTCCTTGCTTTACAGAGACAAGGTAAAAAACCTATCGAAGAGCCAAATGATGAAACCCAGAAGGAAGCGAAGGAAAGAGTGATTCTTCCTTCAATTCTCTCGCTGGATAATTATGTGCCAATTAAGCACAAAACAATAGAGTCAATAATTAATATCACTAATCTCTAAATATACTAGAAAAATTGTAAGTAATAATAAAAACTATACTATTGTATTAACCGAAGTTTTCGAAATTAAGATTTTTTTTAGATATAGTTCGACATTCCAAATTTTAAAGATTCAAGTATTCATTGACAAGAATTAGTGAAATATTGAATCCTTTTCCAAATGTAATTTAATTTGCTCCGGAAATATACCGCCTCAACGATAAAAAAGCAAGTAGATTACAAATTAGTTATTGTTGCAAGATGCATAACAATAGACATCGTCAATCCATTTAATTGAATAAAATATTTGAGATCAAAATCAAATTGAACTTTATTGAAGCGCTAATTCAATGTATAATATCTAATAAGTGTATGGCATATAATGAGAGAATCAATCTCTATAATTCATAAGAAAACATCTTGATTAAAAAATATCAATTTTGAATCAATTACCGTACATCTCACTTAATTTATATTGCATTTCACTATAAAATATTTTAAAAATACTGCACTTCTTGGTTTGAAGGATAATATCTTGAGCAAGAAGAGAAAAGTTCTTGATTCGTGGAACCTATATACCATAGTTAAATTTAAGATGCCCAATACAAAGGATCTAAAAGTTTTTGGGAAAAAAATCACCTTGAAATTTTTTACAGGGGAAGAGAGTTGTTAAATCAAACTTACATAAAATTTTGCATGAAGGCCATAGATAGTTAGCATGCTCCTAAGGAGAGTCAAAAATAGAGGGACGGTATTGAATCAATTTTTGTACTCACTGATTTCTTAAAAATTTAAACATATATTCTTTATAAATTTTCATGGTAGAAATATAAAAAAACAATAGAACACAGATTTATGAACAAGGATAGAGATAATATAAGTAAGCCATAATAAAAGATTCATTCAAATAAGGTAAATGGATCTACGAAGAAATCTAATTCATTAATCTTGAGTACATTGTCGAAAATAGCAAAGATTTTTTCCATTCCTACATCGCATTTCTTTTCCTCTTGAGGTTCAATAACTACTTGTTCTTCCTTCTTATCTTCCTTCTGATCATCCGAATATAATGGCTGATCATTCTGTATTTTACGCTTGAGGACGTGATATCTGTTTTTGATTTGAGTGTCAGTTCTACCTGCGAAGTATTTTGAAATTTGAACCCATCTTGGGCCGTATGTTTGGAGAAGTTCTAATAGTAAAGAATCTTCATCCTCTGTGAATGGTGCTTTATTGATATTTGGTGTTAAGTAATAAAACCATCTATCATGGCATTGACGTGGATTCTTTGTACCGATAACTTGAGAAATGATTTTCCATTCTGTTTCACCGTATTTTCCGACTAATTGTTTTAATACCCTTAAATTTTTGACACCAAATCACACTTGTTTGTTGGATCTTACCATTCCAGATAAATATAGCAACCTGATTTTATGAAATTAGATAGATATATATGTGTACTTTTATCCCGTGTTGTTTTCTCGAAAACCTAATATCCTATGGGGATGCTGATTTTGAGCTTGTGTAAAAGTCAAGTGTCAATTATCTGGCAATATTCTACCATATGTGGTGATGATATTTCAATATGTGTCTTTGTTAAAATTAAAAGTTTGAGATGAAATCAGCCTTATTTTATTTTGATGTGGTATTATTTTTTGTTCTCTATGATGCATTATAATAACATATTAGGAATAAATGCCAACGATTGATTTTCTTGAGAGTTTGGCACAAATCACGTCAAAAGATTATTGATGTCTGGCACGATCATGAGTTGTGCTTTTTTTGGCTTGTCGGGTATTTTGCCTAATGGGTTGAACAGAATGGCTATGTGTTGTCGATAATCAGAAATAATTTATTTGGCGCTATATTGTTTATCTAATTTGCAACTATATATTCAGGGGCTAAGACGGTTTATAGGAATAATGCACATAATGAGAAGGCTAGAAGTCGTGATTTTTTGGCGTATTACAAAAAAATCCTATAAAGAATCATATTTGTGCATATTACACCCATGTCGGTCAAACTTTTGCAATCACATTCTGATTGCAACAAATTGTCTCATTCTGGGAGACATGCAGTGGCAATGTCTCCCTGAATGACACATTGTGACCGACAGGAGTGCATATTACACTCTTGTCGGTCAAAGTTCCGCATTCAAGTTATGAATGCGGAACAGTGTGCCAATCTGGGAGACATGCAGTGGCAATGTCTCCCTGAATGACACATTGTGACCGACAGGAGTGCATATTACACCCATGTCGGTCAAACTTTTGCAATCACATTCTGATTGCAACAAATTGTCTCATTCTGGGAGACATGCAGTGGCAATGTCTCCCTGAATGACACATTGTGACCGACAGGAGTGCATATTACACCCATGTCGGTCAAACTTTTGCAATCACATTCTGATTGCAACAAATTGTCTCATTCTGGGAGACATGCAGTGGCAATATCTCCCTGAATGACACATTGTGACCGACAGGAGTGCATATTACACCCATGTCGGTCAAACTTTTGCAATCACATTCTGATTGCAACAAATTGTCTCATTCTGGGAGACATGCAGTGGCAATGTCTCCCTGAATGACACATTGTGACCGACAGGAGTGCATATTACACCCATGTCGGTCAAACTTTTGCAATCACATTCTGATTGCAACAAATTGTCTCATTCTGGGAGACATGCAGTGGCAATGTCTCCCTGAATGACACATTGTGACCGACAGGAGTGCATATTACACCCATGTCGGTCAAACTTTTGCAATCACATTCTGATTGCAACAAATTGTCTCATTCTGGGAGACATGCAGTGGCAATGTCTCCCTGAATGACACATTGTGACCGACAGGAGTGCATATTACACCCATGTCGGTCAAACTTTTGCAATCACATTCTGATTGCAACAAATTGTCTCATTCTGGGAGACATGCAGTGGCAATGTCTCCCTGAATGACACATTGTGACCGACAGGAGTGCATATTACACTCTTGTCGGTCAAACTTTTGCAATCACATTCTGATTGCAACAAATTGTCTCATTCTGGGAGACATGCAGTGGCAATGTCTCCCTGAATGACACATTGTGACCGACAGGAGTGCATATTACACTCTTGTCGGTCAAACTTTTGCAATCACATTCTGATTGCAACAAATTGTCTCATTCTGGGAGACATGCAGTGGCAATGTCTCCCTGAATGACACATTGTGACCGACAGGAGTGCATATTACACCCATGTCGGTCAAACTTTTGCAATCACATTCTGATTGCAACAAATTGTCTCATTCTGGGAGACATGCAGTGGCAATGTCTCCCTGAATGACACATTGTGACCGACAGGAGTGCATATTACACCCATGTCGGTCAAACTTTTGCAATCACATTCTGATTGCAACAAATTGTCTCATTCTGGGAGACATGCAGTGGCAATGTCTCCCTGAATGACACATTGTGACCGACAGGAGTGCATATTACACCTTGTCGGTCAAACTTTTGCAATCACATTCTGATTGCAACAAATTGTCTCATTCTGGGAGACATGCAGTGGCAATGTCTCCCTGAATGACACATTGTGACCGACAGGAGTGCATATTACACTCTTGTCGGTCAAACTTTTGCAATCACATTCTGATTGCAACAAATTGTCTCATTCTGGGAGACATGCAGTGGCAATGTCTCCCTGAATGACACATTGTGACCGACAGGAGTGCATATTACACCCTTGTCGGTCAAACTTTTGCAATCACATTCTGATTGCAACAAATTGTCTCATTCTGGGAGACATGCAGTGGCAATGTCTCCCTGAATGACACATTGTGACCGACAGGAGTGCATATTACACTCTGTCGGTCAAACTTTTGCAATCACATTCTGATTGCAACAAATTGTCTCATTCTGGGAGACATGCAGTGGCAATGTCTCCCTGAATGACACATTGTGACCGACAGGAGTGCATATTACACCCATGTCGGTCAAACTTTTGCAATCACATTCTGATTGCAACAAATTGTCTCATTCTGGGAGACATGCAGTGGCAATGTCTCCCTGAATGACACATTGTGACCGACAGGAGTGCATATTACACCTTCGGTCAAACTTTTGCAATCACATTCTGATTGCAACAAATTGTCTCATTCTGGGAGACATGCAGTGGCAATATCTCCCTGAATGACACATTGTGACCGACAGGAGTGCATATTACACCTATGTCGGTCAAACTTTTGCAATCACATTCTGATTGCAACAAATTGTCTCATTCTGGGAGACATGCAGTGGCAATGTCTCCCTGAATGACACATTGTGACTGACAGGAGTGCATATTACACCCATGTCGGTCAAACTTTTGCAATCACATTCTGATTGCAACAAATTGTCTCATTCTGGGAGACATGCAGTGGCAATGTCTCCCTGAATGACACATTGTGACCGACAGGAGTGCATATTACACTCTTGTCGGTCAAACTTTTGCAATCACATTCTCATTATACAATCTCTTTATTTTCTTGCCTGTCCATACATATAATTAGTACATAAACAATATACCTTATTCACAAATCCCTTAAGCACAAATTTACCATATGATTTGTATTTATCTTTAAAAATCTTAATATTTTCAATAATTATTGAATTCTACATCTATTTAGTTTATCAAAACACTCAATGTTATAAAATCATATTAGTTTATATCATTTATCATCAGTTTTCATTTTACGCATGTAGTTTTTAAATCTCTATCAATTTTGAAATGAACAATATATTCACAATTATATGCAGTGTCAATAGATATCTTGTTGCCTATGAAATTAACAATTTTTTCAAATTATATTGATATTCTTCAAATTGTGAATTTGTTACATTTAATTACAAATATTGTCTTCTCCCTTATTTTGCATTTGACTTACATTAATAACCAAGCTTAATTTTAACAATTGATACCCAATTCAAAATGTCTTTCCAAAATTAGCCGAATTTCAAAAATTGACATGATATCACATTCTACATCAATTGGAATTAATAATATTCCAAATTAAATAAAAATATCAATCTTTTCAAAATTATAATTAATATGTCTTTTTTAAACTATTATTATATCATTATCATTCATAGCCTGACTTATCAAAATGAATTTCAATTCATATTGTTCAAATAAAGCATTACTTTGAAAGTTTGAATCATTACTCGACATATTTTCCTATATAGTAAAATCACAACCGAGATTGATATATGCATAACATTTCTAGCCATTTGCATGTAGATATGTGAAATTTTAACTCTAATTTTAAAATATTATAATTTTTTTTATATATCATGTCATTATGTATAAATCAATTCACCGGATCATATATATTAATATATCTGTAATTGAATAGACTAGGCCAATTACATTAGTTTGATATCTTGATAACTTTTTAGATTTAGATTTCAACCTCAGCAATATATACTACTATGTACCAGTAATATAATGTTATAATAATGGGTTTGGATCTTCATGTAGTGTGGTTTTACAAGCAAAATAAATTTCGTCTAATTGCACTATGAATGTCATTAGTAGACTACTAAAATCATATGGTAGATTCTCTAGTGCCTACATAAGTATATGGTATATGTCACAAAGAATGTCTCCAATCAGGGAGCTGTATTAATGAGCTTTTATAAAAATTTACGGGCGTGTCAGATTCCAATAACAAAAACTTTAGGGTAGATCATCTTCCGAGAGAGAGAACTTGTTCTTTGAGTTTGTTGATGACTTGATCCGATACCTGCCCGATGATGTCGTAGCAATGGGCGAGAGTGGGGATCTTGGTTCGCGTTTGTACATTTATGAATATGATTAAATGGTTGAACATTTTTATTTCAATGTTTGAATGATTTAAATTTCAATACATTCTATGAAAAGTTCTCTCAAATTAAATATCCAAACTTTTATAAACAATGTTGGTGGGCATAATTTGGTGATTCTAAATTTCACATTTTTAGGACATGTACGGTTAAAACTGAAATGACGTAAATTCTAAAATAATTAAGGAAAATAGCTTAATTGCATGTATAACACATTGGATTCAAAGAAAAAGGCGCATAAACAATTTTTTACAGCAAAGAAAATTGATTTAGAAGAGAAATTGATTGATTGAAAAAAAATTTGTTGAAATAATAATGTATATATGATATTGTTATGCTGCCACATTAAACACAAAATTTGATTATCTCTTTTAAATTTAATTTTGTGTAATTAGGATTTATTATATATTATATGCTTGTTGAACAAGCTTACAATTTTTGTATTGTATTGAAAAAATAATGAATCAAAGGGGCTGTTTTGAATGCGCTCTCAAATTTTCAGAGCACCTTAATTGGCGCTATTTATCTATAAATCCTCTCAAATTTTATTTTTCGACTTTTAGAATATTTTATAATGAGGGTAATATAAACATCTATAATATAAGTTATTCATCTTTTGAAGATTTATGATTTTCAAAGAGCAAAACAAAACTTGAGTTTCCCATTTGCAAGCGCAATTTTCTCAAACAATTTTTGAATCTATAAGCTGTAAAATGTTCCAAAGGATGATACTTAACTTTATTTCTCGAATAGATAAAAAAATAAAATCAATTCTGTTAGTCGAAATTTCTATACTTTTTATTTTGGAATTTTAATACACTATACTAATACAATATTATGGTCGAACTAATTAACTTAATTCAAATTTTGTGTCCAGCCAAATAATTGAATAGCACTTTTTATCCTCCTAAGAACTTTTTCGATAAAATAATATAGTTTTATATGTATATTATATCACCAACTAAAATGTATTTCATTCAAAAGTTCAACCATTCAAATTTTTGTTATGTTTTCAATTTTTTGATAACGTAAAAACCGAATCCCTCTGTTATTTTCAATTCTCGTTAAAAAAAATGGATATTTTTGAGTTTGCTGATGTCTGTGTCTCCCATTAAATGCATTTTATCATGTCAAAAATTGTTTTACAAATTATTTTTACCATGTAAAATTACCCAATCAAATATTCACTATTATTCAAATTTTGCAATACCTTCAATGTTTATTTTAGAATCTTATTAGCACTCTCGAATTATGCATGCGAAAATCAGCTAGATGTAATTCGGAGGTAATCAATTTGTCAGTTTTGAAAGGAAGAACTTTTGAGAACTACATAAATATTTCACAATTGCCATCGAATTTTCAATCAACTGGCTTTTCGAAACATGGAAATAGTATTCTAACCCATATTAAGAAATAAAAATCTTTTCAATATCCCAATTTATACCATGAACCGCATATAAAAATTTATCAGATGGGCTTACAATATTACAATTTTTTACCTTTTAATTAAATTTCTTTTATCAATTCTATTTTCATGACGTATTATGATGTTGATGAGTTGCATCTTGGATAAAAAATAGAATTTACCTTTCTGAAGCATGAAATACGCTCAAAAGAATGATATTGTGATATAAAAATAGTAAGTGATCTAAATGTTAAACATTTACTAATTCATATGGATTGAAACGTTTGAAACCCTGATGATTGTTTTAATCTTGTGTCTTATGAAGCTCGATAGCTGAATAAAGGAATATCTTTGTGAGTATATTATATGTTCGAAGCAACTCATCAAGTTTTGAAAATTCATATTTCTCCTAAGCAAAATTTGATTTTATGGGACTAAAAATAGGTCACTTGATTTAGATCTCAGTGTTTAGGATATGAAATCATGTTTGTCTTTTTTATATTTAAAAAGTTCAAGGAGATAATTAAGATATTTTAGTTTAAAACAATGATATTGATAAAATTAGGAAATGTATACATGCATTCATCAACTTAATGAGCCTTTTTTCTAAACATATTCATAATTGTGAGAACAAAAAAAAAATTAGTATTAATTTACATATGTAAAGCTATAAATTTGTGGAAAAGTCTTTCTATAAATTCAATTGCATTAGATATGACCTTTACAAAATTTGATATGAAATATCAAATCATAATTTTTATTTTTTCAGATTTGGAAAACGATACTATGTAATTATTCAAATGCAAACAGAGTAAGCTTCCCTGTATCTGGAGTTCATGGGAAATATTATAAGTTTGCAAAAATCAATTGGCTTTCTTTATTTTGAATAAGGAATACAAAAACAAATTAAATGTGCCTGTAATATTTGTCCGTTCATGTTTTGTTATTTAGTTAGTCATTGGCAAATAGGGGCAGAAATGAAATCTTTGTCGGGCAGATCTGACAAAACTAATTTTGTGATAAAAAATAACGATTTTTCCTGATCAGTCTACGATTTATTATATATTAGACATATTGATTAAGATATATACATTTGTGATTTTTTAAATGTTATTGTTCTGACAGTCAGAAGATATTGATTGAAAGAAAGAAGGAACAAAGATTTTTCATTTCACTTATTTCGATGCTTCCTTTGCTTGCATTGCGTACTGCTTATAACGCAGACGATGATAACATATGGCTCCCAATTCCAACAAAGTTAGGACTATTACGTCTTGGTGTTGACTGGAACTCGGCAGAAGAAGAAGATGACGACAACTGGTATATTGGAATCTCTTACCACTCACCATGGGGCAAATTCTCAATTGGATACCACAGCAACGATGCAGAAGATGATGACAACTGGTACGTCGGAATCTCATACCACTCACCATGGGGCAAGTTCTCAATCGGATACCACAGCAACGATGAAGAAGATGACGAGAATCTCAGACTTTGGGCAGACTTAGCAACAGCTATTGGACGCTTTGGATTCGAGTATCACAACTCTGCTGAAGAAGAAGATGACGAGAACCTCAGACTTTGGGCAGACTTAGCAACAGCAATTGGACGTTTCGGATTCGAATACCACAACGCTGCAGAAGAAGAAAAGAAGGTCGCAACAAAGAAGCCATTCAGAATCAACAAGGAAATGCTCAAGCGCTGGTATCAGAAGTATGGACGCCGTGTTATGCAAAAGCTAAGAAGCAAGAGACTCGCTTTACCAAAGTTAGCTCACAAGAAAGTTATCGCTCCAAAGAAGAACTTCGATGTTCCTTCGTTCATCAAGAAACACCCATATTACTTTTTCTACCAACTCTACAAAGCTACAAGATAAAATAGCTCACAATAACTTGAACACGAATTTCAATTTTCTTCATTGATCTTTAAAACCTTTTTTAAAGATTATTTTATTTAATTTCTTTTTTCTTTTGAAATATGATCCATACACGCTCTAGTTTTCTATATTTACTTAATCTTATATTGGATCTAACTAATGAATACAAATATCCCTATAATTGAAAAGGGAATTGTTGCTACTTATACTTTTTTCCTTTAAAAAAATGAATTCCATTGCTGTAAGCTTTAAAGCATTAACTGTATTTGTACCAGCATCCTATAACTCTATAATTAAAAGAAATGTCTAAAACTTATTAACATTTGAAACATATAAGGTAATTAAACATGTTGTTTTGGGCATTCACTATCCATTTGAGGGCGTATTGGTATAAAATGTATATAAAAACAAACAATGTGTGATTTATTTTACCCACTTCAGGCAAATTTTTTTTTAATTTCGAAATGTCAACATTTGGAGCTACACCTATTCGAGTCAGAAAATCAAAATGGGGACCAGAAGATGAGAAAACAGTTATGTCTAACGTTGCCAACATCCTCCCTCCAAACTTACCTCCTGACGTATTGAACGCATTTTTATTGCGTTTCCAGCTTGAAGAAGTTCAATATAAAATGAACCATCTTCAAGAAGAGCGTAAAAACATCCTATACGGTGAGACATTAATCAACAACATGAATCCTGACCAAAGAGGATTTATTCATCCTGATGTCAGAGCCCGCGATGCTTTGGTAAAGGAAAGAAGTCAAATTCTTAATGCTATCGAAAAAATCTTTCCTGTTTTTCGTCCACCTCTTTCGCTTAAATTTGCAGTCAATCAGACCGTCAAAGCTCTTAAACTTCCAAGCCAGCACGCAATATCAGTCATCATGGGTAATAGATGCAGTACAATGAATGGCCTTGAGCAGTCTTTCCGCGTTAAAATTTCTTTACGTCCTTCAATGAGACAGGCTAATGGCGAAGAGACAGACTCCTACATTTTAATCATCGGTAATAACTCTGATGATGTTGATCGATGCTACAACGAATGTACAAGAATGATCGAAAGTTCCCAGGGCAGAATGAACAACATGTCAGAAGAAGATGAAATCAAGATCGATACTGATTCCCTTACCGTTTCCTTTAATACAAAGGAAGTTTTACCACCTTGGACAGATTTCTCAAACAAAACCATCAGCAACTTCAATCAGAACGATGAAGTTAATGGAGATATCGATGCCATCCTCAAAGGAGAAACTGGAGCCTTTGGAAGCAATAACGACGACATTTTATCCTTACCTGAATTGGAACGCTACGCAAAGGATGTTACAGTTCATGACTTATCATCTGTATTAATTGAGCCACCACCACCAGGCTTGGAAGCTTAATTTAATAAAGATTGTTATTTTTATTATACTTTCTTTTTCTTTATTTGCAATAAATATATACTAATATAATAGCATTATTAACTTTATGGCCTATATCAGCAGATTTAAACTCATATTAAAAATCATTTTCAAATTTCCGATATAGTTTTAATATTTGCAATCAGCATTGACATACATCCATTAAAAGCTTATAAAAACCTTTATTTAATAACATCTAAATTGGTCGATAATGAATCTTTTGAACTTGGGGACTAATTTATATTGGCAAGAGTTATTCATGTCATAAAGCGCAGAAATTTGGCATTTGTTTGTCAGGTCATTCTAAAAAAAATTCTTCAGATGACTCTTGATTACCAAAAGAAGTATGATGATTTTATAACAACTTATGAGAAACTCTTTCACATACAAGAAAATGAATCTATTGATGAAGTTTTCAATCTGATCAAGACCGTTTTAGTTGAAAAATATAAATCACCTATTTTAAAAATTATTAAAAATATAATAAATTCAATGTTTTACAATTATAGAGAATTGGGTCAGTATGTTGAATTAGCTAATCGAATCTTCAAAGAATATTCATTAATTACATCAACTATTGATGGAAACTATGCCTTCATCCCTTCTTTTTGTTGATGTGATTCTAAACGAAATGAAGTCTGTGTTATGGTAATTAGGTGGGAATATAAAATTGAAAAAGATGATATTGAATATATTATTATGCATGATCAAATCAATGAATTCAAAGAATATATAATTAATCATCCGGTGGATGAAATACGTTTACCTATTTTTGTATTTAATTATTATCCAGCCATTGATTTTGCTGCATTTTATGGATCAGTGAATATTTTTTATTTTCTTTTATCAAACTGTGGATCAAAAATAACAGACGACACTCTTCATTACTCAGTGATTGGTGGAAATACAGACATTATTAATGAATGCTTAAAAGTTTTCCCAGTTGATAAATTATGTTATAAATACGCAATTGAAACACATAACCATAAATTTCTTGAATATCTTTTTGGACAACAAGATTTCAATATTGAATTAATTCATGATTATTATTGGGTACCTGATTATCGGTATGGTTTTCCAAGATTGGTAGAATTCCAAAATCTTAAATTCATGTTTCTTTTGTACGAAAAAGATAAAAACTCAACAATTCCTTGGTGTTCAGCATTTCCTCAAGCAATTGAAATTCTTAATGACAAAGAGCTGGATTTATCGATTGTCGATTATAGAAAAACATCTATTCTACACTACGCAGTTCATTTTGATGATAATAAAGAAGTAATAGAATTGTTACTTTCACGTGGAGTTGACATCAATTCCAAAGATAAATTCAATAAAACTGCTCTTCATTACGCCGTTACAAATAAATGTAAAGGAATTGTAGAATTACTATGTAAGCATGGAATTGATATTAATGCAAAAGATAGAAAAAATAAAACAGCCCTTTACTATGCAGCAAAGTTGAATTTAATAGAAATAGCTGAACTTCTTCTTTCTCATAATGCAGATATTAATATTAAAGAAATACGTGGCAGAACAGCAATTGACATTGCAGTTAAAAGAAATTGCAAAGCAAGCTTGGAAATTCTACTTTCACATAATTCTGATATTAATAATAATGCAAAAGATGATAAGAATAATAATAAACCAGCACTTCACACTACAGCGATATATGGTCATAGAGACATTGTAGAAACTCTTCTTTCACATGGAGCTGATATCAATGCAAAAGACAATGAAAATAAAACTGCTCTTCATTATGCTGTCCAGCATAAATATACCGAAATTGTAAAATTATTATGTTCACATGGAATTGATATTAATGCAACTGATTCTAATAATAGAACAGCGCTTCACTATGCAGCAGCAAATTTTGGTATGGAAATAATAAAAATTCTTCTTTCATTTGGTGCAGATGTTAATATCAAAGATATAAATAACAAGACAGCTGGGCAGATTGCATTAGATATACCATTTCCAAGTATAGCTCGTCTTCTTTTACCTAAAACTGAATTCAGTGACTATAGTGAAGAAGATGAAGAAGATAACTGACATACTTCATTTCGTGTAGAAATCAATTATATTGATGATAATACTTTAAAACTGCTTTCCATTATAGTGTAATACATACTATAGAATTTAAGTATGTTGCGTTTGAGGCAAATTCATACTTAAGCTTTCTAACATGTACAAAATTTTGAGGTGCATCAAATTATTATTAAATCTTTTCATCTTCATCCTTCTTCGTAAGAAAAATTCAAGACTTCCACAAAGTAGAAAGTAACATTCCTGAACGCTGTTTTCTTAAGTATAATTGTAAACCAAAAGATTTAAATAAATACTATGTTTCTTATCTAAATTCATGAAATCAATTATTAAGAAATTTTTATTTTACGAACAATAATTTGATAAGATAGTGAATCACTTGATTCTAGATGCCATCCTGAGGCACCCACACTTCAATTTTTTAAATTCTAAATAAAAACATACGATTTTATTAAACTAAATCAATCTGCCAACTGAGGACTCAAAATTTGTAGAAAATTGCATTCAATGTATCTTTTTTAATGGATTTCAAAATAAAAATTAAATCATATTTTTTATTTTTGCAAATTTAGAAGATGGTGGTATGATATTATTCATGTACGAATAGGATAAGTTTCTTTTTCTGTAGAGTTCATTATGAATTTCCACAAAGATATGAATCTGATATTCTATATGAACTGAAATTGAAACATGGGGATAAATTAAGGATGCTTGAAATAACATTTTATTCAAGTGTTGGGCATTTAGTTTGTCATTGGCAAATAGGGGCAGAAATGAAATCTTTGTCGGGCAGATCTGACAAAACTAATTTTGTGATAAAAAATAACGATTTTTCCTGATCAGTCTACGATTTATTATATATTAGACATATTGATTAAGATATATACATTTGTGATTTTTTAAATGTTATTGTTCTGACAGTCAGAAGATATTGATTGAAAGAAAGAAGGAACAAAGATTTTTCATTTCACTTATTTCGATGCTTCCTTTGCTTGCATTGCGTACTGCTTATAACGCAGACGATGATAACATATGGCTCCCAATTCCAACAAAGTTAGGACTATTACGTCTTGGTGTTGACTGGAACTCGGCAGAAGAAGAAGATGACGACAACTGGTATATTGGAATCTCTTACCACTCACCATGGGGCAAATTCTCAATTGGATACCACAGCAACGATGCAGAAGATGATGACAACTGGTACGTTGGAATCTCATACCACTCACCATGGGGCAAGTTCTCAATCGGATACCACAGCAACGATGAAGAAGATGACGAGAATCTCAGACTTTGGGCAGACTTAGCAACAGCTATTGGACGCTTTGGATTCGAGTATCACAACTCTGCTGAAGAAGAAGATGACGAGAACCTCAGACTTTGGGCAGACTTAGCAACAGCAATTGGACGTTTCGGATTCGAATACCACAACGCTGCAGAAGAAGAAAAGAAGGTCGCAACAAAGAAGCCATTCAGAATCAACAAGGAAATGTTAAAGCGCTGGTATCAGAAGTATGGACGCCGTGTTATGCAAAAGCTAAGAAGCAAGAGACTCGCTTTACCAAAGTTAGCTCACAAGAAAGTTATCGCTCCAAAGAAGAACTTCGATGTTCCTTCATTCATCAAGAAACACCCATATTATTTTTTCTACCAACTCTACAAAGCTACAAGATAAAGTAGCTCACGAATTTCATTCTCTTCATTGATCTTTAAAAACATTCTTTAAAGATTATTTTATTTAATTTCTTTTTCCTTTTGAAATATTATCCATCCGAGCTCCAGTATTCTATATCTACTTAAACTTATATTGGATCTAACTAATAGAATATGTAATATTCTCCATTATACAGCTTTCTACTATATTATTGCAAACTTTAATAATTTAACTATAGATCGAAATAATCATGGTTATAATAACAATAATTTCAATAATTGTATATATATAGCAGTAAAGAGATTATTGAGCTTCTTATTTGGCTTGGTGCTCATTTAGATGTAAATGAGAATAATGGAAAAACAGCACTAATAGAGGCAGTACTTAATAATCAAAAAGGAATTGTAGATTTTATAATAACTCCTGGTGTAAATTTCAATATCAATATTAAAATAGAATGTGATGTTCTTCTATTTTGAACAACATTCGACAGTAAGAAAGAAATAATAGAATCTCTCGCTCAGCATGGATCTAATGTCATTGAGAGAGACATTTTTGTAAAAGTATATTATGGAAAAACCTCAATTTATTATATGATTGAAAAATCATATTTCAATAGAAGTTGTGCCAATCCTTATCAAAACTGATGAAGATGTATTTGTAAGAGAAAGTTATGATATTGCTTCTCTTAATTATGCCCCCTTGTAACCAATATTAATGCTGAATTAAACACTTCCTTAAGAATGGACAAAAATATGAAGATCTGTTATAAAAGCTTGGATGTATATTAGTACTTCGGGTTTATATCAGCATTTTTAATTGGTATGTTATTCATTTCCAAGTTGATGAAAATTAATCTTGAATGATTTAGAATTTTATTGTACAATTAAATAAGAATTCATACTATGTATTTAAGATTTAAAATAAATTGTAAAAATATATGAGTTATAATTGAATTTTTTTCAATTTTTTTTTTCGAGTTCGTTTTTTTTAATATCGTCCAAAATGTCTGCGGATCTTCCTGTTATCTCTGAGAACAGCGCATTTGATATTTCCGTGACTGCAGACTTAAAGACAGCTATAGACCCCTTTGCCAATGCGGTCACAAGCTCTCTCGGCTTTAGATTATCATCAATGCTGCCAGTTGAAGTCCAAAGCCCTAAAATCACTGACAAAACAGAAAGAATCGAAAATTACTATGATTCCATTGAAAAATCACCACCAGATGAAACATTAACGGAAGATTATGAACACTTTTTAGAATATATCGACGAGCAACTTGAACAATTTTACAAGGATCACCCGTACAGAATGAGAGTATTCCTTACAGCTGAAAATGAAAATGGAACTCGTTATTTCTTATCATCTTTTATTCGCCCGTCAGTTTTACCTCTTTTAGCAGCTCATACTGTAGAACTTGCTGCTAATTTTGTTGCAAATCTCATCGAGTATCAGATTCTTTTCGATTTCTTCTCCCAACCCCGTACAATTACAACTCCAAACTTTACTGTTGCTTGCCAGAAAGGAGACTGCTTTGATATGTCAGTTCTCTTAACAACAATCCTTACTGGTATTGGCTACGATGCTTGCGTCATTGTTGGCTACGCAAATCGCGAACTTACTTTATCAGATTTACGTTACAGAAATTGCCCAGGAGTTGCTGAGCCTCCGAAGGAAGATGATGGTGACAAAGGCCCAGAAAACAAGTATCTGAAGGCTGTTTCTGGAAGACTTCTTAATCTCGAATCTTCATTTGTCGAATTACAGAAGAATCCACCTCCGCCACCACCACCACCGAAAGTTATTCCAACTCCACCACCGGATGAGTACGATGGCCGTCGTATGCACTGCTGGATTATGGTTTCTAAGACAGGACGTATTGAAATACCAGAAACAATCTTCATTGATGTTTCCACAGGCGATAAGTACCCAATTACATCACCATTATTCGGTTACATCGAAGTTGTTTTCAATCATAAGAATGTTTGGATCAATCTTCAGCCAAATGACTTTGAGAAGAGTGAAGATTCCCTCGATTTCGCTAATACAGACCTTTGGCAGGCCGTTATCCCAGAAACAGACATAAAGATTCCATCTCCAGTTGTTGAACGCCTTGACGTTCCAGAAAACGAGATTTTCCGCATGTATCCAAAGGTTGTGTCCGCTGATGGCTGCTCTGAGCAGAATATGAAGAAACTTTACTGGTCAGACGCAATTGAAGAACGCTATGCACCATATACAAGGCAGGATGGTCTCTATCGCAGGTTCTTTATTTTCGATAAGGATCCAAGCGATATTCGTGAAATTCGTGAACAATTCGAACATCTTAGACAACATCTTGTTGAACGTCGCATATTCCTCAAGTCACAGGAAATGCTTGAAACATTCGAGCCAGGAACAATTATTCCAACGCGCGAAAACAACAAAGGAGAGAAACAACAACAAATCGGACAAATTTACGAAATTAAACGTCCAATCGGTATCACAACACACAAGATTAAGCACAACGAATGCCGTTTACTCGAATTCGATGATACAAGTAGAATAGATTGCTTGAAATCTCGTTTAGAAGTTTTCGGTACAAAGATTGTCGAAAAGTTCGGTGATAGAGATGATGGTCTTTGCGAGAGAAAGATTTGCATCGTTCCAGAAAGCTCTTCATCCAACTCTGAGACCCAATTATACGATGGTGGTCCAAAGATCGAAAGAATGACACAGAAATACAGACATCCATCTCTTGTTCAAACACACCATACAACAACATACGCTGTATCCCATTCTATTTACAAAGTCGCCTTCGATTTCGTTACAAATAAATTAACCGTCGTTTACCATCACCAGCCAGGCTGCATCACAGATTTCTCAATAGAATTCGTTACACCTACAGAAGCCGATAAAGATAAGGATTACATCGCTATTCCATCAAAATTCTGCCCGAACCCACCAGAAATCGATAACTGGACAATGAACGAGATCCAGAACCAATTACTTGCCATCAGAAACCAAGGAACAGCTGATGCAGAAGCGATTGCCAAGGAAATGGTCCAATGGATACAGTTCAGAACAGACGAAGAGAGCAGACCATTCTACAAGATGAAGTCCGTAGATATCGTTTTACATCGCAAGATTTACGCCCAGGGCGAACAAGCCGAGATTCTTGTCGAAAAGCCACCACCAGAGCCAAAGGCCGAAGGAGAAGACGATGCTTCCAAGAACCAACAACAATTGTCCGCGGACGACCCACTTTGCGTTTATTTCCCTGTCGATCCGAATACAGAGTTCACAGCAGAAGTTGCCGCTGACATTTACAGAAAAGCCGTTACAGCTTTACAAGACAGAATTTACAAGGAAGCGAAGTACTTAGTCAACAGATTAGATCAGGAACAGACAGCCCTCAAATCGAAGATCAGAGAATACGATATGGATCAGCATCAGTCTCGCTCAAGAAAGCAGGGCGACGAACACAACAACTTCGTTACAACGAAGGCATTCTTGATTACAGTTCTCCAGAAGAGAATTGCAAGATTCTACCAGACAGCAATCAACAGGCTGAAGGACCTTATTACAAGACTGAAGAACCATCCAAAACTTTCTCCATTCTTGGGTCCAACAGATATCTCGGAAGAAGAATTCAAGACAAGAATAGAAGGTATCCTCAAACCAAAGGATAAGAAGAACTAATGAGTTTTAATATATATTTTATTATTTTTTTGCTTTTTTTTAAAAATTTGATTTTGGATAATTTTACATTAAATCATATTTTGCTCACTAACAATAGTCATAACATAGTCTTATCGTTTGTTGATATCATACAGACCAAAAATTATTGAAAACAAATTCTTGGTAATTAATGTAAAAGTGACAATTTAACGTACAGTTTTTAAAAAATGTGTGCTTTAATGAGTGGCAAATTCTTCTTTTCGAAGAGTTTGCATCAACCAGAGCTTGATGATGTATGTGATACAACAAAATATATCGATTACCAAAGAGAGACAGTTCAGACGTATGGCCTGGTAACAAAAGGTTTACAGCCTTCTAAAATACCTAATAGAACAATCATGTTTTTCGGAGGACGTTCAACTATGGTTGGATCCCCTTCAAAAACTAGCACATCTAAAAAATCTAAGAAATCAAAATCATCGGCAAGTTCTTCTAAATCCGAGAAGCATGCAACATTTGACTTATCAAATAATTCTCCTATTAAATCGAACAATAATGACCAAACGGAGATAAGTAAGATTACAGCACAAGAAGAAATAGTGTCATCTGATGATGAACAAGTACAGACTTTGCCACAGAAGATCGAAAAAACTTCGCCACAGCATGAACACATGCGTGATGATGATGAAGTTATCGATGATGAAGCAGATGATGAAGATAATGATTCTGATCAAGAGTAATGTTTAATGAATTATCAAAATTACTTTATTTCATTTATAACATTGAAATTTCAAATCTACATATTTCCTTTTCTTAATAAATATTGTTTGTTCATCTTTATTTAAATGTGTTTTGTTTATTCAAACTTGTACAAAAGATACTTCTATAATTTATCACGAAATGAGCTCTGCTGCATAAGTTTTTGCCATTTTGGTAAGATTTGATAGTTCTTTCGAGATTTTCTTGGGATTTGTTGGGCATTTTCTTAGATCAAAATGGGAAAAATTATTAAAATCGAAATTATCTTTTTTATCAGCAAATTCAACGGATCCTAACGTTGGCATTGCTTCAGCATATGAACTTGAAATAGTCAATGTGTCACTTCCACCGGCGTGCTCAAAAATGTAAACCGCAGTATTATTTCGAAAAATACTGTGATCGACATTAGTTCTATACCAACACCAAAAGAGAACTTGATTATTGTCTACACCACATTTGTTTCCTATAACATTGCAATACGAAAACGTCTGAAGAAATGAGTTAGAGGAACTATATAATGAAAGTGACATACTTCCTGTTTGGTTGTTTCCTCTAAATGTGGAGAAATTACAAATCCATGAACTTCCTGAATTGCTACTAGATATTGATGACTTTTCACCACATTTGTTGTTTGTGATATTATTATTCTCAAAATGGAGATCACCATAGGATATATCATAAGTTCGAGTTCCTTTTGATTCCCTTGCATAGCATTTAGAAACTGAAACTTCAAATGCGTAGTTTTTATTGGAAGATTCTTGTTTAACAAATTGAGAAAATGCCATATCATAATTATCTGCTGTTGATTCATAATAGCAATTTCGCTGTTGAACAAAATGAGCTTCTGAAGAGCAGCCTAGGTAAACAGATCCACCAATATCTGTGGAGCTGCAGTTATTAAATGTGCATTCTTCAAATAGTATACAGATTTTGGAAATGCTCTTAATGTATATTGCGCCATTTCCATTGCATTCTTCGAAAAAACATTTAAAGATGTAATAATTGGTATCACTTGTATTATCAAATAGGGCTGTTTCATTCTGTACCTTATCGTATTTAACTTGGCTATCAAAGTATTCAGACCAGCTGAGTTTGTTTAATATTTTCAAGAATGAACATCGTTCTTATGTAATTCAATCTAACATTGGGCTTGGTCAGTCTATAAAATTGATTTTTTCATCGTATTCATTATCACATAGCCCAAATATAGAATAATTTATGAGCAATTTGTTTCAAATAGAAAAATGACAATAATTTGACAGCAATACATTTAAAGCATATCATACGTGAATGATTTTAAATGATTTTATAGGCAAAATAAGCTTCTTTGAGACATTTGCGATTGATCAATTATCTAAATGATACTAATAATACTAGAATATGCATTTTTCATTTTGAGAATAATTAAAATGGTATTAAATTCTGCATAAATCTGAAAAATTGAAATGAAGATTTAAAAACTCATACAGAACGGACATTTAGATTAAAAATTGAAACAACAATGTTAAATTTATATAAAAATCAAATTTAAACCCGTTGATTTTAGATTGTTTCGAAAGTGGACTGTCACTTTTGGTGGATGGGAAGGAAAGGAAGTCGCTCAACCCCAGGCCCAACTGTAGTACGATCAAGAGAAATACCAATGTGGTGGCTTAGTGCTCCCAAAATTAGCCAAGCAATTAAATCCAAAAATATCGCAAATTTAACATTCTTTACAACAAAAGCTCCTTTAGAATTAACAAAATCGTTAATTGACAATGTCGATAACAAGTGGACTGTTGATGACGTTAAAGCCGCCGTAAACACCGCTGATGCCAACTACTTCGTTATTAACGCATCCTTGAACCAACCAACGAATGAAGAAGAGTGGCAAAATGCAGGATTTAAGTGTGGCCGTATCGAAGTCAACAAGGAATACGAACCAGCGGCAATTGACGCTTTCGAAAAATTAGTTGATGGTTTTGTTGCTGAATCAGATGGCAAACCAGTAGTTATTGTTGTCTTCAGCACACTTGGCATCAATCGCCCTGGTTTCTTAATATCAGCGTTTTTATCTCGTAAAGATCTAAATCCAATTGATGATAATTTGAAAGAATTGAGTAAGTTAATGGAATGCCCTGTGTATGCGAAAAAGGCAACAGTCTCTCTGTGCGCTACTTTCAATACTACGATTGAGCCAACTGAATGTCCTTTCATTTCTGAAGAACCGAAGCCAACAGCACCAGCTGAAGCTTCCTCTACAATTGAAAGGCTCGTTAACTGGAGACGCTTCACAAGAAAGGAAATCGAAGGTTCTGAAAGAGATAAAGTCTTAGCGAAACTGAAGGAAGCTTTACCAGAGAAGTGGCCATTCACAGATGGTTTCCCAGACTGGCCAACAAGAAATTGGGATGATTCTTTGGTCCCACAAATTAAGTCCTCAAACAACTTCGTTTCCTTCGTTCCTCGTGGTAAACAAGCATTCCTAGTCATCCTCAGCCACAAATCAATCTACACAGTTTCTCTGGAAAGAAAAGTTTATTTACTTTTGGCATCTTTCAAGGAATCACATCGCTCGATCACACCAATTGTCTGCGCAGTTACATGGACTGAGGAAAAGCTCAGAGTTTCCGCAATCCTTTCTGATATTATGATGTTCGAGAATAAAACAGTCTACGACTTACCAATACAAGAGAGAACAGACATATTATACGACGAGGTCATCAAAAGACTTATCTCAGAGATCGCAAAATCAGACGCAGTCACTCTTCAGTTCATTTACCGACCATTAGCAAGATTACAAGACACACAGAAGCTCATCGACGATCTAGATAAATTCGCTTGCAACCCAGAGGCTATCGCTGTTATTCCTGCTGATCAAGCACCTGGAAATGATATTATCATCCCATTCTCACCAACAATTTCGCTTTTCTTCGAATACAACGGTGGCCAGAAGGCTGTCTTGTTTGCTTACAAGGATGGAAAAGCTGATCCTGTCTGCATTTACAATCTCGAGGACAAGAAAGAGATTAACTACGATAACTGTCTAATTCGTGTCTCCAGAAAGGACGAAAAGTGGTCGATCCTCACTTTCTTCGCTAATACAAAGTCAACTGACAGCGCTGCAACACTGGAACAAGTTAAGGCTTACATCGAAACTGTAAATACACTACCTGACCTCGAAAAGGTTGCTCAGCAGCTCATTGGTGCATAATGTTAAAATAATATAAAAATAAAACATTATAAAGTAAAAAAAACTATTAAAAATATAAATATTATTATTGATAATCTGTAATTTTTTAAAATGAAGTTGATCATTTGAAGAATATTCAAAGCAAAAGAAAATTTAAAATATTTATCTAAATTTCTTTATTGATTGAGCAGATAAGAGCTTTAAAATGGATAGGTAGTGTGGGTATTATTATCATTTGGTAAATTTAAGTATATTAATTGAGTAAATTTCGGATATAATGCTTTCTTGTAAATTTATACAAATATATCTGTAGAATTTAACATTGAGAATCATAGTGTAGAGATTTCTGGTGATTTTTGAACGTTTTTGTTATTATTTTGATGACGTTTGAATTGAATATTCCCTGAATTTCCAAATTTGCTTACGGGAATAAGTTGTCTGATTGCAATAGATGATTTTCTACTTGTTCATGGTTCTCCAAAATTTCTTTGAATTCATGAAAATAAAGATAAAAAACATGATTTTCATTTTGAAATTTTAAAATTCAAAAAAATTTTGGAAAAAAGAATCAGATTGCAAACTTCATTTTGATTTTTTGAAAGATATACACAATAAAACTCAGTTCTATAACAGTATTTAAGCTGTATTTTATTAATATATCATTATTTTCTTATTAAATCTGAAGAACAACTCTTTTTGATATGATAATTTAATTATGATACCAAGAATTGGAAGAAATTTTGATAAAACATTAATTTTTTAAGAAATAGCTTATGTTTGCTACAGATAATATTTTAAAACAACAAAATTTAACAAAAAATATGGCAAGATTTACCATGATTCAGAATCAGATGACTTTTCGTCATCATCATCTGATGAATCGCTGCACTTAACTGCATCTCTGATTTGTGCAGCCTTTTGAAGTAAATCTTGGATTGAAAGTGAGTCTGTATCATCTTTTTCTTGTGGAACATTGATCTGTGGCCTTGGAGTGTTATTATCAACCTTTTTCAGCTTGAAATTGCCACTCTTAATCAGATCTAGATGAGTTTGTTGTTTTGCAGGGGCCGGGCGAGGTGTTGTTTGCTTATTAAGCTTCACGCCGAGCAACATAGATGCATCCGGTTTGTTGGCTGGTCGAGATGAAGGAGCTGGAGCATCTGATGGCGGAGGAGGTGGAAGAGAAGGGGGCGGAGGTGGCGGAGGAGGAGCTGCAGCAACTGGAGGAGGTGGAGCTGAAGGTTTCGGTTTCGATACTTCCGGAATTTGAGGTAATGAGGTAGTTTTTGGTTGTTCTTGTTCTGCCTTTGGCTGTGGATTCGAAATCTGTGAAATATTTGAGACATCTGGGAGACTAAATGTAGATACGGTCGGTTTAGGAGCTGCAGGTCTTTTTGGAGTTGTAGTTTGGAAGGTAAAGTCTTTAGTAGCAAATTGCTCAAGAGCATCGAGAGCTTCTAACGATGCAGTCGTGGTCATTTGTTTCATATGAGTTTCCTTGAACTCCTGAGCCTTAAGATCGAGCTCTTGTAATATAGAAGCATCTGTCTGAGTTTCGAGGGATATTTTCTGCTGTACGTTGATAATTTCGGAATGTTTCACGTGACCAGGAAGAGGAGGCCTTTGCATCGACGTCGGAAGCTTGAATGTAATATTTGAGTCGAAAACAACAATTTGCTCGGACTGAGTCTTTTTCTGGCGATTTTTTTTTGTTTCAGCGTTCAAACGCTTTTCTTCCTTTTCCTTTTGCTTTTGTTCCGAAGCGGCTGCTCTTTGGGCCTCTTGCTCGATTTTGATTTGGCGCTGGAGTTCTTTGATGTAGTTTCTACGGTAGTAATCAGGATCTGAGTACAATAAGTTGAAATCTACGTTCTGGTTACCTTGTATTGTATGAGCAAGTTCAGTAAACTCTGTGAAATCAGGTGGTGGCGAAGCATCGCTCGCCATCTCGAAAACGAGATTGGAAATTTCGAGGGAGAATTGAAAATCGGAAAGAGTTTCTTTGTCGACACAATGGGAATTTGTTCCATGGGATGTAGAAGTACCAATATTCTTGAATTTTGTTAATTGATCTGGGAAATTTCGACGGAGAAAAGTTGTTCTTTCTTTAAGTTCATCAACACGCTGGAATAATTCAGTACAAGAGTTTGAAATATCTTGAAATATTTCATACGCGTAGTATGTCAAACATTCTGCTTGTGCAAGTAAACCAATAGTTCTGTTTGTTGCAATTTTCTCTATAGGATTTGTGCACATACCTGTAATTAAACGAGAGCCTGGATGAGCATCCAATGAAATTACAGGTTTTGCAGGAAACATTGTTTAGAAAAAATTGTCACTTTTCCAACCAATCAGATGCTTTTTTAATTATTAAAAATGATTAGTTATAAGTAAAAGACCAACTTCAAATTTCATAACTTTTGACAATTTGACATCAGATTTTGATTCTTTATGATTTTCTTTGAAAAACATCTATAAACTATTATAGAAATAAGCAGGGTCCAATAATTTTGTCCCCAAACCATCATAAGACATAGATTGAATTGTATCTGCGTTCATACTGTATATAATAACCTATTGAATATATCGTGAAGAAGTATAATATAAATCTTTGAATGTTTTGTACTAATCGTAATATATTTAATCCTTCAATGATTCAATGGGTTATTAAAAACTTAAAATGAGGGAAATTTTTATCACAGTAATAATTGAACAATTGAAACATACAAATGGAATATCAAAAAAGAGATGGTTTACTAAAATAATTAAATAAATTTGATAATTCCTTAATTATCGAGGAATGATTACAGATTTCCTTTATTTGAATTCAAGTCAATAGATGAAGGCTCTTTTATGATGCTGAAATAAATAAGAGAAATCGTAAAATATGATTTGACATGATAAAAGAAGAGAATAAGCCATTAAAGATATACGAATTCGATTTAGGAAGTTATTTCAGATAGATTCATTTAGAGACACATCTTTTATTTCTTGTCTTCGAAGATCGAAGTCAAGAAATATTGCCAGAATGTTTTTTTAAGCTTATAATCTATTGCTCCGTCTAATGGTTGTCATATTTTTTATATCATGTGACAATAATTTGCATTCTTTCAAATATTTTGTCTAATTTTTTGATGTTTGTGATCGAAATTTTATCTTTTAGACATTGAACCAAAATTAGATATGTAGTGCGCTGAGAAATAATAAAGAATTAAATTATTCTGTAACCCTAATTTTTGACAAGTATCAATCGATAAGTAGGTAAATATATGAATAATTGATTATTTAATCTTTTTTGGTTCTTTGCTGCAACTTTTGAAATATTTTTCAATTTTTAAGGGTGCACACGAGAGGATTATGTAAACTTCAGAATTTAGAACCTTATTTTTAGGCTCGAAAAGCAAAAAAATATCAAAAAATACAAGTTGACTCCATTATGACCCTTTCATGGAGGTAGTTTTTATCCGCTAGTATTTTCCCTTTGAATCTCTTTACAATTCGAAATCAAATTCAAACCTCAGTAGAAGAAAGGAAGAATCGACTTACTACGGTTGTAATACGAATAAATACATATATTTAATTATTTTTATTTACATAATAATTGTTTGAAGCTCATATTCCAACAAATTTTTAAATAAAAACATTAAAATGTTGAAAATGTTCATATATTTTAATAGGGTTTTGGCACTTTATTGAGGAATTACTACATACATAGTCGAACTGAACTTGATATTTTGAAATTTAAATTATTTATCAAAATTAAAATTTAACTTGAAATTTATAATTATTTAGTCATATTTTGCATAATTCTAAGTAGATTTTGTAAAAAATCAAGAAAGAAAAATTTTAACGTGTTTTATTTTTTCTTTTTTATAATAATACATATTATTATATAATTAACATATTCATAATGTTTCACCCTTTCAAAAATATAATCCTCCTCCTCTCAAATAAACGTACATACGGGTGCACCCTTAATTGAAAATTATATTGTTAAACTCTTATAAAATTTTTATTAAATTTGATTATTATATATATTTTTACTTTTAAAGAAATTCAATTAGAGTCTGAAAAAAATATTTGCTTTTTATCTCTGAAATCTTCCAAATTACATACGTATCATATTTTTTAATTATAAAAATAATTGTTTCAAAAATTCTGAGTTTTATTCATATTATTAAAAAAATTCTGAGTTTTATTCATAATTGTTTTATTAATTAGCTAAGATTTTTATATTTTATTATTTTATGTAAAATTTATCGATCAATAATTTTTTTCACTCAATTATAGTATGCTTTTCTCCCTTTTTCTTAAAACACATACACATCCAATTCAATGCATGCACGATGAAGCTCAAAAGAACATTCAGGTAGTTCAAGAAACAGTTCCAAATTACAGACAATCACTAGATGGTGAAAATTCGGGTTATGTACCCCTAAAAATTGATTTTAAGACTGACAGATTTACATTATCTAATGTAGAAAGTTCTGTTTTAGATACTGTTAAGAACTTTACTCGTGATTTCCTTCAATGTAAAGATAATAAACCTTTCGATCTTGTTGGAAATTATTCTGATGGCACCAAGATTACAGGAAAATCAAATGAAAGTATAAATCTCCATATTACATTAGAAAATGCCCCAAACTCAAGCTTTGAAGCTGGATTAGCGGCTTCTGTAGTTCCAGTAATTTTAAAGCAAGATATGGAGGGCCGTCCAATACAAGGCCGTCTTACTCTCCCTTCTATTAACTCTTATCCAAAAGAGTTCCAGATTAATCTTGTCAAGCACGCTGTCTTCCATATTTTAGGTATTTCAGCATCTATGTATCAATCTTTCAAAGATCCAACCACTGGCAAAAATTATTCGTCTGACAATTTATTCTGCAATTTTACAAAATTAGGCAAGAACTTCACATTTTTAGTAACTCCAGGTGCACATATGGTTGCATATAACCATTTTGGACCTAATCCATTTACAGGTGATGATAACAAAGTATGCCCAGCAGGTATCGAACTTGATAGCAATCCATCTTATGGATTTTCTCATCCAGAATCGCTTATTTACCATACAGACATCATGACAGCTGCTACATATAACCCACAAATTCAAATCGGTCGTGTTACTGATGTAACCATTGCGATGTTAAACGATACAGGATTCTACAAAGTTAATTACAGGCTTGGTCAACCAAATATCTGGCTGAATACATATTCTTATGATACACTGAACCATACTGATTGGGCAATTAACGTTCCAGAGGAATTTTTCCCATCTGACTACTTTGCAAATGTCAATGCTTCAGGTATAGAAGCACTTACCATTGCTATGGGTGGTGGCATGGGACCTGACCAACAAACTGATGTTGCTTCCGATTACCAAGTTGGATTTGATTTCACATTTGCCGGAACTACCAAAGTACTTCCATTTTCCTACAAAGTCAATTTAACTAATTTAGATCCAAACAAAACAGGTACCGAAACATTTTATTTAACCGACAAGGTTTATTATTTCAAGAAAAATAGTACAAAGAACAAATATTACAATCCAAAACCAAGAAACTACATGGGAGCATACCAGGAGATGAAATTCATGCCACTTCTTCTCAAGACAATTCATGATGCAAATCCAACATTGAACTGCCCTCCAGGCCAATTTATTCATCCTGGCACTAACAAACTAAATATAGGAAAAGTTTATCAATGCAATAAAGTTGTTTGCGATTTTGAGAAATATTCAAATTATACTTATTACTTTAACCAAAATCATAAATTCACATGCAGAGCATTTAATGAATCAGTAAATATTAAAGATGAAGTAACTAAAGAAACAATAACAATAAAATGTGTTGACCCAGGCCGCTTCTGCAGAACAATTAATCTCACAGACTCATATTTCACAGGAGATCCACTTTTAAGGAGCTATGAAATTGATAATTCCCAAGCGGAAGCTGCTCTCAAGAAGAAAATCGCCATTGGTGTCGCCGTTACCTTTGTCATAATCTTAATTGTCGCAATCGTCGCATTTGTCTTCATTTTCCGCTGGATCAAGAAGAAACAACGGGAAGAAGATATGAGAAGATTCAAGGCAATCATCGCAAAGGTCAAGGCCACGAAGAGATCGCAAACAGTCGCAGAGACTGGTGGCAAAGAAATCAAGGAACCACTTCAACAACATAAGACAGAAAGAACTTCAAGAGCAACTTCTATGATCCCAAGAAATCCACTCGATGAACCAGGACAGCGCGGCAATTTGACTCCAGGACAATCAGGAAAGACAAACGAGAGATTGCAACAGATCCTCTTCCTCCAGCAGATGGATAAGACAAGAGATTACCAGAAGGTCGATGACCAGAAACAAGAGCAGCCTCCTGTTGCAGAAATGATCTCTCATGGACCTGAACCCGGAGAAAACTTAGATGAAATTTCTGAAGGAACAAGCGTCGATAACCCATCAAGCGAAAATGAAGAAAAGGCAAAGCAAGAGGAAGAAGCCAAACCAACTGATTTCAACGACTCCTTAATATTATAAAACTTTTATCACCTTTGCCTAAAAACGATACTTTCAGGTTTTTTTTTAAATTATATTATAAATTAAATCGATTAGTGATTCAAACGTAAATATAATGAGTAAATACTACAACAATATGACACGCATATGAAATTGATACATTTCTAAGATATACTCACATCTTATTCTGCAATTATGAGTGTAGTTTTTTTGATTTTCCTTTCCTTTTTATAGTAATTTTAAAGTAACCAGAAATAAGATATTAAACCACTTCAAACTTACCGTTTAATGATGCACGAAGGAATAAGGTGGACCCAAAATATCAGTTTCTTGCTTAAAATAGATGAATGTCACTTGCTAAATGATGTAAATCAATCTCTTTTAAATATCTCTTTCTTCAAATTTTTTTAATCATTGTTGGATTTCTTTCAAATAAACTTCATCAGCAAATATGTTATAACTTATGTGTAAATACAAAAAGTATGGCAGCCAGTTAATAAAATTATAAATAAATATATCAAAGTAAAATTAGTTTATTCTAATCAAACAATATATATCTATACAAACATTATGAAAAATACCAAACAATATTACAAAAAACTGTGATTATTGTTCATTTTGATCAAAATTCGATGATTTGATAGCTCCAATTACACTTCTAACATCTCGTTTGAAGGGAGGAAGTGTAGCCAAGAAAAGTGCGAATAACAACTCAAAATTAGTCAAAATATAATTCCCGAAAAAGTTAAATTGCCAAGGAAGGAATAAATACGAAAGTTTTGCAAATATAGATATAAATCCAATCAAAATAAACATAATAATAAACAAAACTAATGATGAAACATTAAATGGGTTAATTTGACCTTTCAAAACAAAAGCTATTAACAATGTCATATATACGACATCACAAGCAGCAGAAATAGTACTGAAATGTGTCGGATTTATGTCAAATCTAACGTATTTTATGTTTGCTTGGTTATTTGTAAGAAGTTCCATCAATGTACACAACGAAACAACGACAAACATAATAATCTTCGGATTCTCTGTTTGGTGGAAAGATAGCCTAAAGATATAAATAAGTTGAAATGTTTTGAAGATAAATTTGAAAAGAAGTGAGCAAACAATGTAAATTTGTAATACATCAAAGTCACTTGATATAAGCCTAAGAGGGTTCAATGCTAAAATAATACCTCCAATGAGGAAATATTCGTAATTAGAAAATAATAGATTTTTGTCATTTTTAGCTTCGTAGTAATTCTCTATTATTGATAGAATGGCTCCAACAGCTATTCCGAAAGTAATCCATTTCATTTGACTAATAATTCCGACATATCCGAAAATTTTCATTTCGATTTGCGTGACTCCTCGCCAATCAGCTGTAATGAAATCTTGAAATAGAATCCTAGAAATGTGCTGATCATATCCTCGCATTAAAAAAATTGGTCGGGATATTTTGCTGTTTAATGGAAAATAAGCTCGAGTTTCGAATGCTTCATGCAATAAATCGTTAGGGGTTGTCGTTAATTCATCGAAACTGATTGTCAGGTTATGAATTAAAATATCATTGTGTTGTAAATATAAACCATTACGAATTATTGTAAGATAAACGGAAAATACATCATAAGTAATATCAAGATCTGCAAATGTAAGTAAATTTACGCTTTCTAGTTGAGCGAATGAATTTACATCGAAAACTTTTTCAATGCAATACTTTGTTCGAAATATATTGGCCGAACTAACCAATGCCAAGATAAGAGCAAGGTAAAATATCAATCGATCAGAATTTGAAATTGATTGAGTTTCGAAATTTGCAGATTTGTACTTTCTAATGGTTCTGGGGTTGACAGTTTCACTATTTATCTCCAATGACTCATTAGTGATCGCTTCTGATAATGATAGTTGCTGTAAATTCATTTTTTGTATTTTCCAAAAAGTGACACCACTAAAAGATGGTGAGAATCGGGACGATAGATTTATTTGGTCCAGCTCGAACCTTAACAAGAACCTTATAAATTAGTGCAAAAGGGGTTAAATATCCTTATAGCAGAAGAAGTAGTTCCCAAATAATAGCTTAGAACGACCAGCTTCTAGAATGAAACTGAATGATTTCCGAACTACTCGTTCTCAAATTAAAATCGAGTTTTCGCTCATGCACAGACTCAGCAAGAACAAATATATGAATATTATGCAAAAAAGGACATTATGTATCTGATTTTTTATACTTACTTTTTCAAAAATGTATCATGTGAATTGATAATTGAGAGAAATTAAAAGGTTTACACGGAAAAATGAATAGTGAAATTTGAAAGGTATGGCAGATAAAATATAAATTGTTTTTATTCACTTCCTTGTTAAGTATAATAATTTTATATCACAATGGATAGAATTTTGACAGTTATACTATGGCTCGAAATTTGTTATATTTTTATTCGATTTATTTTTATACATTATTTGCTGATTTTCCATTTTTGACACCTCATTTATCTTTTTCAATAATTTTGATTCAATTCAAAATTTTCAAAACCATAATATTAGACCAAAGCTTATAGACCTCCTTTGCATTTATTTATTTAAGAAATTTAAAATTCAAATAAAAAGTGAAAGGTAGTCTCACGAGAAAACTGACGGTAAAAATTCGATGAAACCAGGTGCATTGTATAGTACATATATGTGGTAAATAAATATCGATTAGCTTTGTAAAAAATATCCCACAGTTTTTGAGATCTTGAAAACGGCCATTCAAAAAGTCGAAAATTTTTCCGAGATGTTAATGGGCAAGACAGTTTTTCGACAAATAAATCGTAAACATGGGAATTAAAATAAGGCGTTATATTACATATATGGTAAAGAATATGGATGTGAAGAGCGTTAGTAGAATGGAAAGACTTTGAAATTTTAAAAAATTCATCTGGACTAAAAAATTATTTGATTATAAAAAACATATTATATATCAATTGCTATATAGAACTATCATAACAGATTTTGGAAAAGCCGCAAATCCCCAAGCTGGAGAATTCATTAAATACTAATTATTCAGCTTTTTATCGGAAAGGAAGGTAGTGTAGTGGTTGGGAACGCTATGCTCTTTTTGAATCTAAAAGGCAACTGTTCAAATCATAACATCTTTGTTTTTTTTTCTTATTCTGCCATTATTGTTTTTCCTTGTTATGATTCAAATTAAAAATATTTTAGTAAAGGCATTTTGGACATCATTTTTTCACATTGTCTCAATGCAAATGTTTGAAAATTTTGTAGGCAATATGACAACTCTTTCAACATTTGTTCTCTTTTATTAACTCAAACAGATTTAGGATCTATTTTCATGCCTTCGAAGACATTTAAACCATCTTCAACATAATTTATTGACAAATTGATAACAATTACTCATGAATGTCGTAGATTTAATATCCTGTCACTCAGCAACAAATTCGGGTTCAATAACAAAGCTCAGTAAAAACTTTACAGAAATTCTCCAATTTATTTTAGTGTCTTTTTGCGTCATTACGGCTGCATTTTCTTCTGCATCTGAACGCTGTGTTTGGAAGAAGACGAAATACAGAAACTTTCAACACAAGTAATCAGATTTTTGTCTTTCATGTTAAAATGCTTCATCTCGCTAGGTATACGTCATCTATTGGATGGATTGTTAGCTTTGTGTCCAAATAGCAAAAAAAGTATTAATTTAAATTTCGCATTTTGCATAAGTATACGCTTTAATTTATATCAAAACAGATTTAGATAGCTTAAAACAATATAGTTTACTCATAAATACATCTTGATAATTCACTTCTTCAATTTTCATAATCTTATATCCTGACCTATATCCTCTTATAAACCATATTTCTACTGAGATCTTCTTAAAGCATCTTTTTATCCCTATCTACGCCTCGAAACCCTATTTTTCCAGCGGAATATGAATCTTCGGGTCTCGCTGATTCGATTTCTGCAGTCAGATCGTAAAAATACCACTACATAGCCTGATAATCTCAATTTAAGTTCCTTAATTTTTTTGAAAAAAAAAATGAAACTCCCTTATCAAACATCATGCTCATTTTTACGAATTTCATTTTTCCTTTAAGTTTAAAATATACGCTTTTTAGCATGTTTATAATACATTTTCAATTTACATTTACATTTTTATTTTTGAATTGTTTATTTATATTTCCGTTTGAACAATAATATTTATTGAAAATTGTGAGAGAAACGGATATAATAAAAAACACCATACAACAAAATTCACTTTTTTTCATACTTACGCGGATCACTCCTTTTCGGCCCAATATGCCGGAAATGATAAAACTCTCAGATCTAGTTGCTAAGATCCAAACTCTCGACTCTCAAATCTACTTCCTCAGATCTTGTTGCTAAGATCCAAACTCTCGACTCTCAAATCTACTTCCTCAGATCTTGTTGCTAAGATCTACTTCCTCAGATCTTGTTGCTAAGATCCAAACTCTCGACTCTCAAATCTACTTCCTCAGATCTTGTTGCTAAGATCTACTTCCTCAGATCTTGTTGCTAAGATCTACTTCCTCAGATCTTGTTGCTAAGATCTACTTCCTCAGATCTTGTTGCTAAGATCCAAACTCTCGACTCTCAAATCTACTTCCTCAGATCTTGTTGCTAAGATCTACTTCCTCAGATCTTGTTGCTAAGATCCAAACTCTCGACTCTCAAATCTACTTCCTCAGATCTTGTTGCTAAGATCTACTTCCTCAGATCTTGTTGCTAAGATCTACTTCCTCAGATCTTTTTGATAAGATCTACTTTTAATGTTTAAGCACTCAGATCTCATTTTTAAAATATCTGCACCAAATTCTTACATCTGATAATTTTCATGTGTAACCAATGTTTCCCAATCCATTTGCCATACCCTACTAATCGCAAATTCATTCCCTTTAATTTTGTATTAAATTTAAATTCCAATCTTAATTTCTACATTATTTATGCTAACCCTTTAAATTTTGTTCTTATTTATTCACCCTCAGATACAAATTTATTTAGAATGTATTCCTCTGAGGTCTATATTTGTATTCGAAAATAAAATCTTTAAAACTCTCTAAGTTATCATTTTCTCTTCAGATATCTAATATTTTTCTAATGACATAACTACTTTGGACGCATATCCAAATTCCAAAAAAAATATGGAAAAAATAAAAATGAAATTGAAAAATACAATTTTTGATATGTAAAAAGAGATTTTGAAAAAAATTGGGAAAAAGAGTATCTAATAAAATTGTTTGAGATCTATGTAGACATAGTTTTTACATTAAAAAATCAATAATATTGAAATTGATCCGAATATATCTTTTTTTTAAGTTTGAATGCATTAATCTTTTTTTTTAATTATCAAGATGTATTTATGCGTAAACTATATTGTTTTAAGCTATCTAAATCTGTTTTGATATAAAACGAAAAAGAAATGCTTTAAGTGTTCGGCCACTTAATCATTTTCCCACAAATCATTATGAACAGTGAGAAGATAGAAATTAATTTATCATGTGTAGATATTGCCACATTTAAGAAGCTTGAAAAGCTTATTAAAGAAAAACTTCCTGGTGTTATTTATAATAATATCGCAGATTATCAAACAAGTCCCAATCAATCAAAACTATTACAAGAGAATACTATTAAATCAATGATTGCAGCTTCCAAAAACCGTGCTCTAAGCTATCAAAGATCTCTGCAAATGAAAAAAATCAATGAACAAAGAAAAATACAAGATGGAACTGCAGACGAATTAGAACAAGAAGCAGAAAAGGCAGATCTTGAAACTCTCAATGACAATGAAGATGATTCTGATGATCAAGATGAAGATGAAACAAATGGTGATGAATCCTTGAGTTTAAGCGAAATATTATTAGATGATTATACCCCATTATTTAAGTACCCTCCGTTTGCAGATAAATTAACGTGTGTTATCAGTTAGTAAGACTAAGTTGCGTACTGTGGCACTGCGCGCCTCCGTACACCACTTAGCGGTTTTGACACTTTACGAAACCGGTAACGTATATTTTACAACACAACCATAACACCAACTTAACCTTAAATATTTACAAAACCATCTGACACATAAACGACTTCACTAACGACTTCACTAACCACTTCACTAACGACTTCACTACCGTCCTCACTAAATAAAAATAACCTTATTTTTATTTTTTTAAATTTTTAATTTCATTACAAAGACATGTCCGACTACATTTACTATGACTCTTTCCCAGAACGTTTCCGTGAACTATTCAAAACTCAAGTAAAACTGAGAAACATGCATTTTAACAAAGACAGACCCATTGACGATGAAAGAAACCCTGAATATATTACAATCCCTTATGGCGCAAAGTTCATTGCATACATTCCTTATGGTCGCAGAGGAACGAAAACTATTTCAACAAAGAACAAAAATTATTTCTGGAGCGATGAAGAAAATTGCCTTATCTACATAAATGCATACTTAAATAAAGCTACATATTGTACAAAAGAAGGTTGGACTGGATTTGAGCTCTACATATACGACGACGATGGAAACAGACGTTGTGTATACCCATACGATAATATGTACCATTGTTTTCATCAAGCATTAAACGAATACATAGTCAGTAAGGGTCTCATTCCTGTTGAGTAGAAATGTTATATTTTTGTTCTGTCATTTATAAAAAAATAAACTTAAAAATTAATGATATCACCACCCTCACACGTATGAAAACATAGCACAAAATAAATTTAGGTGAAGTGGTGAGATTTCACCTCTTTTTTCACCTGTTTTTTCACCCTGTTGAATTCATTGCTTTATAACTCTCTTCCTTGGTTTCTTTTTAGTTGCTTTCTTCACGTCTGTCTCCAACTTGACTGTCTTTCTTCTTCGGCCGTAATGATACCAATTACTTCCACCAGTCAATGGGTGAAATGGTCGTTCATAAGGGTTTCCATACATTCCATAAGGTCCGTATGGATAAACCGCTGGTGGAGAAGAAACATTTTCTTTAGTTCCATCAGTTAGTAAACATATCAAGGGTACGGAGGCACTGCGCGCCTCCTTACCCCTGATATGTGAATTTGACACTTTACAAAACCATTAACGTATATTTTACAACACAAACGACAACACTAACTTAACCTTAAATATTTACAAAGCCGCCAACCATTTCACCTCACTAACGTTTTCACAAACGACTTCACTACTGTAAAAAATAAACGTTCTCACTTACAAAAGTATTGCAACTCCTCCCATTGCTGTGCTTCACATAACAGCTCATAATCTTCTGACTCACTTTCTTCTTCATATAGGTCAAAATCACTGTCAAAATAAATGTTAGTAAGTTTTGACAAAGCTAATGAAACACGCTTACCGTTTGTATCGTATGCTTGTATAAACTTTCCATTATGCTTGTAGTCATAAACGCTCAAACTAACTTTACCCTTTCTCCCTCGTATCTGATAGAATGTATTTTCACGAGGAACGAAGAACAAATTCTTGAACTCATGACCGTTGTAGTTTGTTATCTCAATAGTTTTCGTCATTTATATAAAAATAAAATAAAAAATAAACTTAAAAATTAATGATATCACCACCCTCACACGTATGAAAACATAGCCCAAAAATATATTTAGGTGAAGTGGTGAGATCTCACCTCTTTTTTCACCCTGTTGAATTCATTGCTTTATAACTCTCTTCCTTGGTTTCTTTTTAGTTGCTTTCTTCACGTCTGTCTCCAACTTGACTGTCTTTCTTCTTCGGCCGTAATGATACCAGTTACTTCCACCAGTCAATGGGTCAAATGGTCTTTCGTAAGGGTTTCCATACATTCCATAAGGTCCGTATGGAAGAACTACTAGTGGAGAAGAAACATTTTCTTTAGTTCCATCGACTCTATTTAAATGCATTGTTTCACCTTTCATCTGGTCATTAAAGTCTTTTGCGTGTTTTGCAAACTCATCGTCCTTTCCTAAAGCATTTTCTGACTCAGTCGCAACCAAATTGGATGCTTTATTTATGAGCCCTATTTTATTTAATCTTAACTTCTTTGCAACCCAGCCTCCAATCTTCCCTTTATTTGCATCTAATGTCTTCAAAACCCTTCCTCCACTCATTTTATTTACTGCGTCATAAGCTCCAAGTGCTTTTGCTCCAAATGCTAATGCTTTTGTTCCCATTGCGCCTAAAGCTGCCCAATCTACCATTTACACCATATTAAAATCATCTCTCTTCAATATTATCTCATAAAAGTTCTCGTTACTGGAGAAAGTCAATGAAACATAAGCGTTCTCACAGGCTTCGCCCTCATCGCTTTGCGGTCTATCTAACTTCTTTCTTATCTCATCTATTCTCAATAAAATGTCTGAACAATTGCTAACATCTTCTACAACAGTTATTTCATCATGAATGACCTTCAAGAACAAGCTCATTTAATATGCTATTAAAATCATCTCAATAATGAGTCCATCCTTTCCATCTTTAGGTAGCACAACATCTTTCATTGAAGAAGGTTCGACAAGTCTTATGTTAAACTTACTGACAAAGTTTGTTATACTATAATGCTTTGGCGGCGAATACATATAGTTTGAAAGACATAATATAGATTCTTCAGCAAATTCACTTATACTGGATTTTATAACAATGTTCTCACGAGACCAAATGCCACCAATTGACAATCTTGTAAGCAATCCTGCTGAACCTTCAACTGTAAACGTCGATGGTAACATTCCACGAAGGTCATCTATTGACATCGTTGAGTCACTGAATTTAAAGATTTTCTTAAAGCAATCGTCATTATCTAACCATGCAATAGCTTTGAAGTTTTCATTCGAATATACATCTGCTTCATTAAATGTAAAACCTGACTTCTTTGCAGAGACGACTTTAAAATCTATTGAGTTTGTTTCAAAATTATATGCTATGGTAACTTCTGAAGGTAATGGATGTCCTTCCGCAGTCAGTTGTTCTCTCACTACCGTTTGAAGCTTTGTATTAAAAACTTTCATGTCATCTCCTGTATCTAAGTTCACATACACAGCAACAGGAAAACTATCTTGCTTCTTTGTTTCATCATTATACCTCAAAACATTAAAGTTCTTCAATAATATTGTTCTTCCTGCTGGAATACTTCGAACCTGTCTGATTTCAATAGCTTTCTCACCTCCTACATACTCTACCCAGTGTCTTGGATATTCATAAGTATACTGACTTTCTTGAATTTTGGTTGGTTTCATCATAACGTGTTCATAGTATATCTTTATACTCTTGTCAGTTAGACTCGGTGCTATGTTCTGAATATTTCTGACTTGCATTTTTAATGGAGATAAAATGAAGCATTTAATACATGACGTAGATGAAGACATGAATGAAACTACAGACAAGCTCAACTCTTCTCTCATTCTTCCTTTCAGTAAGGACTATGAGTTCTGTTCAAATGGTGTTTATTTCTATTGTGGAAAGATGGGTTCAGGTAAGACATTTAACCTCATTCGTCATATACTCATAACAGAGCGTTTAGGAAATGACTCATATTATGACCAAATCATTATATCAGCAACTTCAGACTCTATGGACTCAACAGCGAAAACATTTATGTCAAAAGTTCAAGCCTCTGTCGTTAAAGTTCCAGACAGTGAACTCATTGAATTTCTTCAACGTTACATTCGACGTAAGAGAAAATATTATGCCATCGTTGAATTTATACAGTCAGGAATGCAAAAGACTTCTGAGGAGATGGAAAGAATTATTGACAAACACCACTTACGTCAATACTCAGGAGTTTACGATATGAAACGACTTACAAACTACATTCTGTCAAAACTTTCAAAATACCCCTTCAAAAAATATCCATCAAACACTCTGCTCGTTTGCGACGACTTCGCCGGAAAAGGTTTAGTGTCAAAACCAGACTCACCATTAGCTAACATCATTACTAAAGTCAGACATTACCATTTAACTGTAGCAATACTTATGCAAACATGGAGGTTTTTAGCTTTAAACATAAAACGTCTCATAACTGACTTCGTTATCTTTCAAGGTTTCTCACGCTATGATATTGAACTCATTTGGAAACAGTCAGGTATAACATTACCTTTTGAAGAAATTTGGGAAGCATATAAGTCTCTCATCTCTCCTCGTTCATACCTTGAGATTCATATCATGACTAATACCATTAAAGTCAAAAATATTCCATGGGAACGACCAACATTGTTTTAAAGTTTAACCTTCAATTGACTGATGGTAAACAAATTCCATGCATCTCTGTCGCCATTTCTGTTAATATTTTTGCTGTCATTCATATCATCCACTTCTCCATCCGTTAGCTTTTGAGGATATGCGTTAGAATAGCTGTTCTTAAATGAAGGCTTTTCACCTTTGAGAGCATAAACTCTATAACTTTCTGCATACTTTATGTTTGAACCTCCTGAGCCATCATTGACATAAATTTTTATAGGCTTCCACCTTTGTTCATGTTCCTGCTTCTTCCCTTAGCTCTTTTGTTCAGTAGTTCTACATCTTTATACACAGCACCTGTCTCAGTGAATTCAACAATATTTTCATTCGTTAGCTTTGCATTCAAACCCTTGTCGAGTATATTGTTCATTTCATACATATAAAAGGTTTTTATTCTATATGAAATGAGAAGCAAATCCATCTTAGCTGGTGCCGTTAATGTTCCAATTGAACCAACATCAAATGTTGACTCACGAACGACAAACATATTGTCATAAAGAACTATAGTTCAGAGTGTTTGAAAGAACCAGAACCAGAACTTAAGTCGGTGAATTTAAACTCAGCTTCAAACGCTAACGCTACATCAGATGTTAAGTTAGAGTATCCACCACTGGACCAAATTCTTTCAAGAGAAGCCAACGACAACCCTTACACAAATGTTCAAACAAATCCTTCAGATAACGTAGACCATTACCTTCTTCAGTTATATCAAACAATTT